ATTGCCTGAACCCAGGAGGCAGAGGTTGCGGTGAGCCGAGATCGCGCCATTGCACTCCAGCCTGGGTAACAAGAGCGAAACTCCGTCTCGAAAAAAAAAAAAAAAAAAAAAAAAAAAAATTGGCCAGGCACGATGGTGCACACCTGAAGTCCCAGCTGCTCAGGAGGCTTAGGTGGGAGGATCACTTAAGCTCAGGAGGTTGAGGCTGCAAGAGAGCTATGATTGTATCACTGCACTCCAGCCTGGGTAACAGAGTGAGACCACGTCAAAAAAAAAAAAAAAAAAAAAAAAGAAAAGGAGGGAAGTACAGCCTCAACTTCACTTCAGCCCAGGAAAATGAGGTTTACTGTGCACCTGCAATCTGTCGGTAGCCACGTTAGGTACCAAGTCTGTGTTGTCACGGCTCATCTTCACTAGAATCTGTTGTTTACCTGTGAGGGTCCTCAGGCTCCGGATGTTGAGGAACTGCTGTTCGTGGTCAAACCATGTACATTGAGGGTTACCAGCAACCTACCTGGGCTCAGGCTTTTGTGAACTCACTGAAATCTTCATTGACTTGCCTGAAGTGAGCCCTCCAAAGTAGCAATGATATTTTCTTTTTTCCTTTTCTTTTTTTGTTTGAGATGGAGTCTCACTCTGTCACCCAGGCTGGAGTGCAACGATGAGATCTCGGCTCACTGCAACCTCTGCCTCCTGGGTTCAAGTGATTCTTCTGTCTTAGCCTCCTGAGTAGCTGGGATTACAGGCATGTGCCATTGTGCCCAGATAATTTTCATATTTTTAGTAGAGACAGGGTTTCTCCATGTTGGCCAGGCTGGTCTCAAACTCCTGACCTCAGGAGTTTGGCCTCCCAAAGTGCTAGGATTACAGGGGTCAACCACCGCTCCCGCCTGATATTTTCGATCAGAGATGCATGACGTTCTCCACCTCCTCAGAAACCCACCTGCAGTTGGAAGCCACTGGTTTTGATGAGCCCTGAGCACTTTCTAAAGCCCATGGGCCCTCTAGAGCCTTAGGGCAACCTGGGCAAAGTTCCCACCTCCTCATGCTCTGGGCACGGCTACTCACAGGCTTGGCTCCCGGAGCTATGACACGGGAGGTGAAATAGAAGAGACTTATTGAGAAAACAAAGCATGGATTGAGGACTTGTCTCTCAAGCCCCAACATTCTCTTCCAAATTTGGGGTGTAGATGCTGAAATGACCCCAAGAAACAAGTTCACAAATCACTCTAGTAGCTCCTTGTACTGACCTAGAATTTGCCACCAGCCATGAAGGTTGTCCCAGGTGGCCCTGTCAGATGCTTCTAAGTGAGGGAGGTGATAGACGTTTATTGAGCATTTATTCTGAACCCAGTGGCTCATGAGTTATTTCATTTACTTGCCCAAACAATCCCTGAAGGTAGACAGCAGAGGTGCAGAGAGGTGAGTAATTCCGTGGCCATCGCCTCACTCCAAGCTGATGTCTCTTTTGCCTGACACCACAACACACTCCCACCTGGCCCCCAGGTGCCTCCCTCCAGACCTCCCTCCACCGGCAAAGGCTTCATCAACCCACACCCCTGCCTCTCAGTGATCTTTGCAAAGAGCAAGGTGAAAACCCTTGACCTCAAGGCCTGCCCCAGCGGACTTTTGCTGTCCCTGGCTCACTCCAGGCTCCAGCTCACTCCAGCCACACTGATGATTCCCTGTTGGTCAAACAGAGCAGCACCGCCTCCTTCCCTCCTCCGGGCACTGTGTGCAGCTGCCCTTCCACACAGATGTGCCCCTTATCACCCGTGCACACAGATGCGCTCGCACGTGTACACACATCTCTGCCTCATGCTCATTCTTAGGGTCTCAGCTGCATTGTCTCTTTCTCACAGAGGCCTCCTGGCCAGTGCCTCCTCCTCTAGAGTCTAGGTTAGTTCCTCCTGTTATCCCTCTCATGGCACCCTGTACTCTTCCTTAACATGCACTTTGCACAACTGTGGTTCTGTAGGCATCTGCCTGCGTATCGGCTTTCCCCGTCTCCCACTGGTGTGCAAGCTCTGGGAGGCAGGGCCTGAGTCTGGTTTATTTTCTACCTGTGGCCAGTGCCTGGCACAGGGCTCAGTGAAGGCAACGTTTCCCGACGGCAAGCACCCGAGCTGGGTTCAGACTTCCCCTGCCTGTACATGCCTCGAAACTGCTGCCTCTATCTACAGCGTACTGCAGACGCCCCCAGGACCTCAGCACACAGAGCTGCAGGTGCCCCCAGGATGTTAGCACACAAGGGGGCTGGACCGGGGTCTCTGGATGCTGACCCTGGTAGGCCATCAGTAGTCACTTAAAAAAAATTTTTTTTTTTTTTTTTTTTTTTTTTTTAAATAGGCCAGGTGTGGCGGCTCACGCCTGTAATCCCAGCACTTTGGGAGGCCTAGGCGGGTGGATCACTTGAGGTCAGGAGTTCAAGACCAGCCTGGCTAACATCGGGAAACTCTGTCTTTACTAATAATGCAAAATTAGCCAGGTGTGGGGAAAGGCACTGTAGTCCCAGCTACTTGGGAGGCTGAGGCAGGAGAATCGCTTGAACTCAGGAGACGGAGGTTGCATCGTGCTGAGATAACATGACTGCACCCCAGCCTGGTGACAGAGCAAGACTCCATCTCAAAAAGAAAAGAAAACAAAAAAACCCCAAACCGGCTCCAGCGTGGCCCCAGTCCACACTCAACTCCCATAGGGAGGGTTTTTCCAGCTGCCTCTGGCTCTCCAGTGATGCATCGTGGTTTGATTTACCTCACCTTTGGAAGGGAATAAAAACAGATTCCCGGTGAAGCCGGAGTGAGAGGTCAGTGAAGGTCATCGTAGAGGCCGGCAGCGTTGGCACCGCACCCACCGAGCTCACGCCACCCTTTCCCGAGTGCCACTCATGGGCTCCCCTCTGTTTCCACAGCCACTCCTCAAATGCTATGCCTGCCCAGTGGCACACTCTGCACCCACGAGGGACCTGCTGACTCCAGCAGGCGGCCTCCTTTTGCAGGCACAAGCCAAAGGCCAAAATTCCAGTCGAGTGAAAGAAGGTCACCCTGCCCTCCAGCTCACAGTGCCAGGGGGGGCCTTCAGTGTGCTGAGGTGAGTGCTGCGGAGCCTGCACCTTCTCTTGGGGGCACTACATTTGGGCAGATTTTTCTCTACCTTGGGCCTCTCCACTGTGACTCATTCGGACAGGACTGTTCAAACTGCAGGGGGCAGTCCTGTGTGCAGGATGCTGAGCGGGGTCCCCGCCTCTGCCCACTCCATGCCAGGAGCACTCCCCTCACCGGTTGTCCTCAGACATTGACAGATATCCTGTTGGGGGCAAAATCTTCGCCAGTAGAGAATCGCTGCTCTGAGTGGGGAGCTCCTAAAGACAGCACTGGGGCTCCGTGTGCCCCTGTGCAGTGAGGGGCCTACTGCCCCCTCGTGCCCCCCTCGGTCTGATGCTGGAATGGCAGGCAGCGGACGTGGCCCAGCCCACGCTTCTTACCAGGTTCCCAGAGTGCAGTGTGCCTGGCGCAAGCTGTAGGGCTGGGACTCTGGGCTGCAGTCTCAGCCCTGCCACCCACTCCCATTAGACTCAGCAAGTTCCTCCCTCTCTCCTCGCCTCCCACATCCATCACGTGGGGACTGAAGATGGTGACATCACTCTGGGGGCACTTGAGAAGAGGAAGCCCTCAGCGTAACCTGAGATTATTGTTTATATCAAGGTTAGCTAAAGTCAACAACTCGTTGATTTTTCTCTTTGGGTTCAAGGGCCAGCTGGTCCTGGGTTCCTCCTCAAGAAGATTATTTTATTTTTTTAATTAATTAATTAATTAATTAATTTTGGGATGGAGTTTCGCTCTTATTGCCCAGGCTGGAGTGCAATGGCACCATCTCTGCTCTCTGCAACCTCTGCCTCCTGGGTTCAAGCTATTCTCCTGCCTCAGCCTCCCAAGTAGCTGGGACTACAGGGGTGCACCACTATGCCTGGGTAATTTCTTTTTTATTTGAGTAGGGATGGGATTTCACCATGTTGGCCAGGCTAGTCTTGAACTCCTGACCTCAGGTGATCCACCCACCTGGGCCTCCCAAAGTGCTGGGACTTCAGGCGTGAGCCATCACACCTGGCTATTTTCTTCAAGACAGGGTCTTAGACTGTTGCCCAGGCTGGAGTGCAGTGGTGTGATCGTGGCTCACTGTCGTCTCCAGCTCCTGGGCTCAAGTGATCCTCCCACCTCAGCCTCCCGAGTGGCTGGGATTACAGGCGTGCACCACCATAGCAGGCTAATTTTTGTATTTTTTATAGAGATGGGGTTTCCCCATGTTGCCCACGCTGGTCTCGAACTCCTGGGCTCAGGTGATCCTCTCACCTTGGCTTCCCAAAGTACTGGGATTACAGGCGTGAGCCACTGTACCCTGCCAAAAAGATTCTTAACACAGGCATTTTTCTTTCTTTTGCTAAATTAGAGATAGGGTCTCACTATGCTACCCAGGCTGGTCTCAAGTGATCCTCCTTGACTCCTGGGTTAAAGCGATCCTCCTGTCTTGGCCTCCCAAAGTGCTGAGATTACAGGCATGAGCCACAGCACCCGACCGACACAGGCATTTTTCAAGGGCACTTTGGGTCCCTGCCAGGGTCAGCTGCCATCCACAGGCTGATGACAGGCAGGGCATTGTTCCTTCCTAGTGCCAGACTGGCATTGAGATGCCCTCTTGACCTTCCAACATCTCTGGCAATGGTCACCCCCTGCTCTGGTGAGCTGTGATTCCAGGGCACCCCCAGGGCAGCCCACTTCCCGCCCTGGAGTCCTCGAGAGGCCTGCTGAAGACTGTGCAGGGACTCCCATCCCCACTCTGCCCCATCATGAGTTCTGAGACAGGGCAAGTCCCTGTCCCACTCCTGAAACCTCCTGTGTAGGGTAAAGATGGTAGAAGCACTGGGTCCCGGGGACGTCGTGAATGAATTACAGGCGATGACGTGAAAGGTTCCGGGTGTGGGATGCATCACACATACTAACTGGTGGCATTGTTATGATTCGTTTAACTTTACAAGAATCAGGATAACAGAAAGCATTCAGGTGCAGCAGAACAGCCAAGTCCGTCCCACCTGTCCCCTCGCACACACTCGGAGGCTTCTGTCGTGGCAAAGTGTACCGATGGCCAGGAAGCTGCCTGGTGAGGCATTTTCAGAGTGGACAGACTTTTTGTTCCTGATTTGTGGGTTTCGAGGAGGTTTGATCATGGAGAGGAAATCCCCCCGCCCCCACTCGAAGGTCTTCCCGAGGCCCTGCCATGGCCGTGCAAGTGTGGTTGAGGGTCTGCAAGATTGCAAATCGAAATGATTCCTGGGGAGCCTTTGAGAAGCTGAATCCCAGGAAACATCCAGGGCTGGGCCTAAGGTGGCTTCGGCCTCGGGGTAGGCTCAGGGCGGCTGAGACCAGGGGGCAGCCAGCTCCCGAACAAGCCCTGCCCCTTCCCTCCCTCCAAGGGGTGGCTTGGGACTCAGTGCCCAGTGAGTTAGTGGGGGCCAGCGCTGTGTACGGGGTAGGGAGTCAGGGCCTGATGCTCCCCGCCCACCACCCAGTGCTGCTTTAAGGTGGTGCTCAGCTCCCCACTTGTGAGAGCAGGGCAGAGGTGGGAAGGGAAGGCGCACAGGGACAGCCCCGCAGTCGAAGGCTGGCTTCTAGGCTAAGTCTTCCTCCTCTTCGTCACCCCCTCTCTCCCCCGTCGCGTCCTCTCCCTCCTGCGCCACCTGGCCTTCCTCTGAACTCGGTTGCTGCTGCAGGGGAAAGATGGCACAGGAGTGTTGGTGTTGGTGGGGGCGGACCTTCCCCACTCCCCTGGGATGTGAACCCCACAATGCCCAAAGCAGCCACGTGGCTGAGGCCTGGGTCGATGAGCACCCTGGAACCTGTGGTGCCAGCTCTGCAGCCGGCGAGGGCCCAGCCGGTGCAGAAGGTAGGCACAGCTGCGGGCATCCGACAGACTCGGGTACACGCCTGGCTTCTCAGTCTCCTTGGCTCCCTTACCCACAGAGAGGACGGGACACTTTGCCGGCCTGTGGCCAGGATTGGAAATAGTGGGCGTAAGGACTCAGCCTATGGAAAACGGCTTCAGTACCACATGGTACTTTGTGACCAGCACGTTTTGGGCCATCTTCAACACACATGTTCAAGATGTACCCTCTATGGAGGAAAGGAGGATACCAGGAGGCAAGGGTTTCTCCTCTCCTGAGAGAGAGGAAGGACGTGTGTGGCAGGCGGGAGGAGGAAGGGGCCGAATTCTGTGGACCTAAACCCCTTCTGAGGCTCAGCTTCTTCACGTAGAACGTTCAAGCCATGGTGAGGAGTACATTTTGGGGTGTATGTCACCAAGCACGCTGCCTGCCAGCCACCATTGCATTGTAAAAGGTGGCCAGTGTCATCTTTGCCTTCTGCAGGGTTGGACAGGCCAGGTGTGGTGGGTGGGAGGAGCCCTGGGCTAGGGGTCAGAATCCAGGATTCTAGTCTTGCCTCCATCAGAAATGCACGGAGCTCTCTGCCCCACCTGTCTTACCCAGTGTGGGAAGAAAACAGCTCACAACCAAGTCCCCTCAAATGCAAAATGCACCTGCAGAAGCCACACCTTTTTCTCAGACCCAGGAGGAGGGAGGCAGAAGAGGGAAGGAGTCCCAAGATGGAACCAGTTACCTTCTCTGTGTGCTCACCACCATCCTTCGCTCTGTCCACTCTATCAGGGACCGGGACCTTGCCATACAGCCCTTCTCGCAGGCAGGAGTCATGGGTGGGTGCTCTGTGCACACACTGCACCCTGTCTCCCCACACTTGGTCTAACACTCTATTGTCATTATTTTAAAATTCTTCATACTCCTTAAACAAGGGCCCCACATTTTCATTTTGCAGCACCCCCACTCCCCAGGTCTGCTGCCAGTCTTGCCCACAAGGGTGAATCCTGGCATGCACTCGATGTTTCTTTTCCCTGCCACACTGCTCTTTGGCTCTTTCATATTTTGGCATCTTATCTGTGGAGCCGAAAGGAAGTGACCCGGACAGACGACGTCTTTTCTTCCTCTGTCCACTGGTACAAAAGAGGGCCTGGAACGTCCCCAGATACCACCTTCACAGCTCCATCTCTCATTTTCCAGATAAGAAATTAAGGAACCAAGAAGTGAAGTGACGGGCTCAGGTGATACAGCTAGAATGTGCGGTAGAGCCGGGGCCATGGACAGATGAGCTGACATTAGGTCACACTCCTGACACCAGACCTGGGTAAGCCAGCATGACATGTACACCACTAATGTCATAGCCCTTTCCTCCAGGGGCCTAAAGGCCTGTTCCTCTCTGACACGTCACTTACCTCTAGGACCTTGTTCAGTCACTCAACATGCATGTTCAAGATGTACCCTCTATGGGGGAGGGGAGGATAGCAGGGGGCATGGAGCGTGGCTCCTGCCTGTAAGGAGCCTGAAGTCTTAGAGGAGATTTAGGATTTGGAGACTTAGGATTCTTTGGAAGGAAGGGAGTAATTCTTCCCACTTGCCAGGTAAAAACCTAAGGTCCAGTGGGTAGTGCTACTTGCTCGAGGTCACCCAGGAAGTCAGCAAGCAGAAGCAGAACCCAAGGGCCACCACTGCCACCCGGTCCCCAACCCACCCAGCCCCCGTCCCGGACCCTACAGGCATTGGCTTCGGCTTGATGGCGTCTGCCTCCTGCTTCTTCAGCTCTGCGAAGATGATGTCGAAAAACTCTTCCTCTGCCTTGTTGACCAGCGCCTCCAGGTCCGTGGGCAGCCCCTCGTCCCTCTGCTCCTCATCCCTGCCCTCCACCTTGCCCTTCTCCTTCAGCCGCATCTCCCGGTGCCTGGCCTCCAGGATCTTCTCTCGCCGGGTCTCACGCTCAAACATCTGGGCATACAGAGACAGAGACAGCCTGGTGGGGGGAGGGCGGGACAGCAAGCGACTCCAGGGCGGGGGCCAGGTGGGGCTTCTGTGGAACGCTCCTGTCTCCACACAGTCCCTGTAGAGGTCTGTACCCAGGGCTGGTGTCAGGAAGGAAGGCTGAATATTGGGGTTGGAAGGCTGCAGCAGGGACGCTGAGTCACTCAATGCCAAGCAGCACCAAGTTCCTTGACCACAGAGGGAAGAGCGCCCTTTGGAGCTATGCAGTATGGCAGCCCTTGGCCCAATAAGGGCCAGCTCGACGGCAAGATCCCAGCCTAAGCAGAGCCAGGAGGCTCTCCCGGCCTCAGCACTAGGGGTTTTCAATTTCACATTGTTCCCCATGGTTCTGGGGAGTTGCCTGCAGGGCTGCCCACTGGGAAGGGATGTAGGAATGGATCTCAGTCCCCCTCTTCAAGCGTCCTTCCATCTGTCTTCTCTGTTGGCATTCTAAGCCTTCAGGTTGGATGCAGTGGCTCATGCCTGTAATCCCAGCACTTTGGGAGGCTGAGGTGGGAGGACTGCTTAAGCCCTGGAGTTTGAGACCAGCCTGGAAAACATAGAGAGAGCCCGTCTCTAAGAAAATTAAAAAATGAGCCAGGAATGGTGGTGCATGCCTGTGATCCCAGCTATTTGAGAGGCTGAGGAGGGAGGACCAATTCAGCCTGGGAGGTGGAGGCTGCAATGGGCCATGATTGTGCCACCGCACTCCAACCTGGGCAACAAAGCAAAACCCAGTCTCAAAATAAAATAAAATAGATACAATAAGAATAAATAAAATAAAATAATTAGGCTGGGAGCAATGGCTCATGCCTGTAATCCCAGCATTTTCAGAGACCAAGATGGGCAGATCATCTTGAGGCCAGGAGTTCAAGACCAGCCTGGCCAACATGATGAGACCATATCTCTACAAAAAATACAAAAATTAGCTGGGCACAGGGGTGCACACCTGTAATCCCAGCTACTCAGGAGGCTGAGGCAGGAGAATCACTTGAACCCAGGAGGCAGTGATTGCAGTGAGGCGAGATTGCGCCATTGCACTCCAGCCCAGGCAACACAGTGGGACTCTGTCTCAAAAATAAATGAATAAATAAAAAAATAATTAAATTAAATTAAAATACAATGTAATACAATAAAATACTAAGCCTTCATTGGAAAGGTTCTGCAAAAAAAAAAAAAAAAAAAAAAAAAGTGTTATTTGAAACTAGACAAACTGACCAAGTCAAACCTCTTTGATTTACAGCTAAAAATCTGAATCCTAGAGAGTGAAGTGACTTACTGAAGGCCGCTTAGCTCCACAGCATTTGAGCAAGGGCACATTGACGCACCAACACCTATTTATGGAGCCCACTTCGGGACACCGCCTCCCCCAAAATGTGCACCCATGTCCCAGGGATGGCGGGGAGGGGACATTGATTTTTCCGACTAGCTTGCTCTGCGGTGGGGCCAGGTCGGGATGGGCCCGAGGGGTTCTCCCCACGCGCCCGGCACTTACTGAGGAGGCTATGTTCCTCTCATTCCTCTGGAGGGTGGAGAGCCCACTGGAGACCTCCAGCAGGGTGGTCGTCCCCAGCTGGGAGCCGCAGGCGATGAGACACCCATTGTCCTGCGCCCGGAGGCAGAAGAGGGCCTCGTCACACACCTGCAGAAGGGGCCAGGCAGACCCAGGCAGAAGAGACAGGAGCAAAGTGACGTGATTAACTGGCCCCGGGGAAGCTCTGCCACCTGGCCCTGTTCAAACACCCTCAGAGACGCCTCTGCCCCACAGGACGGAGTTCAAACTCAGAGACTGGCCGTTAAGACCCCTGGCTTCCCTGCCCTGTCTCCCGCCCCACCCCTTTGGTTCCGTCTCGAAGTCACCCTGTGGTTCCTCACGCCCCCACCCTTCCATGGCCCCAGCCAGCAGGGCTCAGCTCTGGCCACCCTGACCTGAAGGGGACGCTCCAGCAGCCAACCCCCAGGGGCTCTGCCCGTAGGCAGGAGATGCCAGGTACCTGCTTTTGTTTCTTTTTAAACTTCCCCCGGCTGGTTCTCTTGAATCACGAGGGTGCCAAGTCCCCCAGAACCCTTAACCTTTGACACACCAACCCCTATTTATGGACCCCACTTCAGGACACCACACTGCCTCCCCCAAAATGTGCACCCATGTCCTAGGGGGTGAGGGGGAAGGGACATCTTTTTCTGACTAGCCTGCTCTGCGGCGGGGCCAGGTCGGGACGGGGCATGCTGTGGGAGTTCTCCCCAGGCCCCCGACACACGCTCCAAAGAGCACACGCTCCAAAGCCATCGCTGCAGTCAGCCTGCACGCAGCACCCCCGCAGAGGCCCAAACACGCCTGGCCACATACTGCATACGCCCACAGCACCCCACGCCCACACCCACGCCAAGGCCTGGCTCCCGGAGGACCCAGATGCACAGGAAGGGACGTGCGGATGACCTTCAGACTGAGAGCGGGGTCGCACTGCTTGAACACAAAGTCCCAGATGTCCAGGGTCCCGTCCATCTTGGTGGTGAAGAAAACGGCTGGCCTCACGGGGCTCCAGGCAGCGTCGGTGAGGTAAGCCATGTGGTACCTGTGGGAGGCAGCCCACGTGATGGCTGGAGGGACAGAGAGGCTTCTGAGCCACAGCTCGGCTCACTCGGTCCCTTCTGGGCTCCAGGGTCTCAAGAGTCTTACGAGGCAGAAAGTTCTTCCTTGTGTCTGACTCCTAGCTGTGCTGACCTCACCCACCCACGGCTCACAGGCTGCTCTTTTCTCTTTTCTTTTCTTTTCTTTTTTTTTGAGATAGAGTCTCACACTGTCACCCAGGCTGGAGTGCAATGGGGTGATCTCGGCTCACTGCAACCTCTGCCTTCTAGGTTCAAGTGATTCTCTTTTCTCAAGCCTCCCGAGTAACTGGGATTACAGGCACCTGCCACCACACCCTGCCAATTTTTTTATTTTTAGTAGAGATGGGATTTCACCATGTTGGCCAGGCTGGTCTCAAACTCCTGACCTCAGGTGTCCAACAGTCTGCTCTTTAAAGGGTTCCGGGCTGGTCATGGCAGTGGCTCATGTCTGTAATCCCAGCACTTTGGGAGCCCAAGGTGGGAGGATGACTTGAAGCAGGATTTTGAGACCAGCCTGGGCAAGGTCACAAGACTCTCTCTACAAAAAATTTTTTAAAAATTAGCTGGTGGTGACCACCTGTGGGCCCAGCTCCTTGGGAGGCTGAGATGGGAGGATCGCTTGAGCCAAGATTGAGGCTACAGTGAGCCATGTTTGTGCCACTGCACTCCAGCCTGGGCAACAGAGTGAGACCCTGTCTCAAATAAACTAAATAAAGGGCTCTGGGCACTGTCCTTCCCGGGGGCTGGCTGCTGGCGCTTCTCTGCTACTAACTCCAGGTGGCAGGCACATGTTAGTGGACCCGGTCCCACCCTGGGACTCACGGATGGGCGTCAGAGGGAGGATATGCCCAGAAAAGCTGCTATACCAAGATCAGGAGAGTGTCACTTCCTGCTTGGTTTCATCTAGATTTTCAAGAGTTTCTTCAGTGAAGATGGGAAGTTTTTTAAAAAGAGACACACACATGTGCACACACAATGGAGCCTTCAGATTCTCACCAAAACCTCTTCTCCCTTCTTTCATTGCAATATAGTTGTAGCTGGGCCCCTGGTGGGCAAGGCAGAGACTACATTTCCTGGTCACCTTTGCAACCGAGTGTGTTGACAGCCAGGCCACAGTGGGAGAAACGATCAAGACCGAAGAAAGGGTGCGGCGGCTCACGCCTGTAATCCCAGCACTTTGGGAGGCCGAGGTCGGCAGATCATCTGAGGTCAGGAGTTCGAGACCAGCCTGGCCAACATGGCGAAACCCTGACTCTACTAAAAATACAAAAATTAGCTGGGTGTGGTGGCAGGTGCCTGTAGTCCCAGCTACTGGGGAGGCTGAGGCAGAAGAATCGCTTGAACCTGGGAGGCGGAGGCTGCGGTGAGCCGAGATCAGGCCACTGCACTGAGCCTGGGACCGAGAGTGAGAATCTGTCTCAAAAAAAGAAAAAAAGGAAAGAAAATTAAGCCTGTTTTATTAAAATAATGGCCATGATTTTTAGCAACTGAGTGGTTTGAAGCCTATCCCTTTCTGGAGTGGCTGGAGCCAGTCACTTGCTAACGCAGGCTGGGGTGTTTGCGGAGGGTTTTCTCCTCCGTTTTACAGACAGACATATGGAGGCTCAGGACTCTTTGCAGCCCAGCTGGGCCCACTCTGTCCCCTCCTCTCTGCGTGCAGCCCCTCCCGTCCCCAGCATCCCCTCTTACTTGGTCCACATAATGGATGACTCCCGGCTGTCTTCAGACCAGATGCGGGCTGTCCAGTCACCCACCGTTAGGAAGTTCTTTGGGTAGAAGGGGTTCCTCTGGAGGGCGTAGATGGGGCCGTGATGGCCCGAGAAGGTGCACACGATCTTCTCGGCTGGCGTCTTGGCCTTGCGGTTGCAGGAGATGATGATGCCCTGCTCGGTGCCCACCATGAACTTGGTGGGCTGTGGAAGGAGTGACACAGGAGGGGAAGACTCCATGAACCATCAGCTCTGCGCTTAGCGGGCATGGCCAGGTGCCTGCTGGGGTGGGGGCTGTAGGTGCCAGAAAGGCCCTCAGATCAAACCTCTGCTTAGGCTGTGGCCCCACTGGGAGAGCTGTCCCCACTCTTCCCGGGCTCCTCAGACCCCACCTTGTTTTTGGAAGCTGCTGCAGGAGCCTGTGCTTAGTGAAGCCCGCCCTGGCACCTCCAGGCCTCAAGGGTCGTCACCAGCTCCCTTCACAGCCCATCACTGTGACCACGATGCATTTGGCCATCAAGACCCTGATGTTTGTTTACAGGTAGAGTAAACAAGGCCCAGGGAAGGGACACAGTGTGACCCACCTAGGTCACTCACAAGATGGGCTGAGCCTGCCATGGCAGGACAGTGACATTTGTCTTTCTTCTTTTTCTCTTTGACACAGAGTCTCGCACTGTCGCCAGGCCAGAGTGCAGTGGCGTGATCTCGGCTCACTGCAACCTCCGCCTCCCGGGTTCAAGCGATTCTCCTGCCTCAGCCTCCCAAGTAGCTGGGATTACAGGCACCCGCCACCACGCCCGGCTAATTTTTTTGTATTTTTAGTAGAGACGGGGTTTCACCATGTTGGCCAGGCTGGTCTCCAACTCCTGACCTCAGGTGATCCACCCACCTCGGGCTCCCAAAGTGCTGGGATTACAGGCGTGAGCCACCGAGCCCGGCGGACAGTGACATCTGTCAGCATTGTCCAGGTTGGTGTCCCTGAGAACTCAGAGCAGGTGGCCGATCAGCACTCAGGAAGCCGCCTGGCAGCTGGTGATGTGATTTGTCCCTCTACCGCTGGGTGGTGAGCTCTTTGAGGGGTGCAAGCTTGTCTTATGCGGGCCCATTGCCCACAAATTGACCTCTAATAGCTGCCCACTTCACTGTGGACTGAATACACAAAAGCTGGTCTCTGGACTCCTGATCCAGTGCTCCCTCTGAGCACACCCCCCTCGATCACGCAATGCCCCGCCTCCTTCACAGTTCCGTGGCTGAACTTCCAGGCTAGATCAGACAACCTCCACCAGCAGGGCCTGAGCCTGCCGTGGCGCTGTGTCTCCAGCATTCCAAATAGAAAAAGCAGCTGAGTGACGGAGGGGACGAGCATAGCATGCTGAAGGGAGGGCCTTTGTCAATGGGCTCAGATTGAGGGAATGTGCTCTCTTTCCAGGTCCACAAGGGGACGCGGTTTTAAGGGCAAAAACTTCCCAAGTGCCATGCACCCTCGCCCCCATGCCTCTCCATCCGGGAGATGTAACAGTCTCTGTTTTAATTTTCCAACGTGCAGGAAAGGGTCCAAAGTCAATCACTCCAGCGGAAGTTCTAAGGAACTCCTTTCACTGGCCAGGGGTCTTGAAGAAGGTTGGGGGGTCCTCAGGTTAAAAGTCCCCTTCTTCCACGTCACCTCAGGCTCCATGTCTGGGTCCCCTTCCACAAACACTCCCTTTGTGGAAGCCATCTTTCCCCTTCCACACTCTCTCGTGGAAGCCTGTCTTCCCTCCTAAACTCCATCTCGATTCCCTTCCACTCAGTGTGGAGGCTGCTTTCCTCTCCGGGATTCCGTCTTTCTGGATTCTCTCACTCAGTGTGAGAGGAGCTTTCCTTCCCCGGTTTCCCCTCTTCTGGGAACCCTTCTCGCTCAGTGTGAGAGTGGCTTTTCGTTCTCTTGCTCAATGTGAGAGCTAGCCGTTTCTTTCTCTGTTTTCTACCTAAATAAATCACTTTCTGCAAACACTTTTTGAGTCTGGTATTGACTTTACAAGTGCACCCGCCAGGGTCCCCTCTCTCCTTCTTGAGAGAGCAGGAGACCAAGATCCTACAACATTCTCTCGGGGGAGCTGTGCCTCCCCGGCACCCCAAAATCCCCATCACAGGATGTCCTCTGCCGGCGATGAACAGCCCCTACTGAACGTTTTCCTGAGCCCTCGCCACCCCAACCTCCATGCCCAGTGCCTTGTCCTCGGGGGGGGGGGGGTCAGTTGAATTGTCTCCTCACCCCACCAGCGTTCATCTCTCAGCCTTGGGCTGGGGTTGCCCAGAAAGGTTCAAGGCCAGAGCCTCCCAAAGCCCCAGGAATGGTGGCACATGACCCAGAAGCAAACAAGTGACATCTGCAAGGGGGAACCAGGCCTGGGCTGCGCTAAGACAAAAACCAAGACTCAGCCCAAGCCAAAAGCCAACAACAAGGGAAAGCTGCCTCCTTGTTTTAGAGAGGAAGACTTCCTTTGCTGCTTCTAGAAGCTTCCCTCCTCTAACACATTTGCATTACGCTCAGACTTTGATTTTTCATTTTTTTTCCTTTTCTTACGTAGGGACAGCGTCTTGCTATGTTGCCCAGGCTGGTCTTGAACTCCTAGACTCAAGTGATCCTCCCACCACAGCCTCCCAAAGTGCTGGAATTGCAGGTGTGAGCCGCCGTGCCTGGCCTCACATTGATGTTTTCCTTCCTTCCTTCCTTCCTTCCTTTTCTTTTTTCTTTTTCTCTCTCTCTTTCTCCCTCCCTTTCTTTTTTGGTAAAGATTGAGGGTCTTACTATGTACCCAGGCAGGTCTTGAATTCTCGGCCTCCCAAAGTGCTGGGATGACAGGTGACAGCCACCGTGCTCGGCCAAACTTTGATGTTTCTTTGTCATTCTTTCTTAGTTACCAAACACTGAGACCAGGAACCTACAACATGCCTGTGCTCTGGTTTTCCAAGGAGCCTGCTCTGACCTCATTTTCCTCTCCAATACCTCTTCTTTCCCCAGAGGAGGGCAGATGACCGGTCTAGGGCCCCTGTGCCAGGTAGGGCCAGGACCTGGGCTGGAGACTAGGCCTCCTAACATTGGTCCTGGGCATGACCTTTCCCCACGAAACAGGGCTTTTCTGAAATTGTCCTGTCAAAAGACTGCCCTCTGTGTTAAGCTGGGCTACTGGCCGAAAGATGACCTTGGTGCGATGATGGCTATGGCGTCCTTCTTCAAGGAGCTCTGCTGCCCCCTGCTGGAAAGTTGTTATAAAGGCCACACAGGTCTCGGATGGCGGCAGGAAGGCTGGCCTCTCTGGGCTGGTGCTGGGTTCCGTGAGCTCCTGACATCCTAGCCATGGCCTGTCTTCAGCCCTGGCTGCCCTGGCAATGGAAGTCGGGGAAGGGACAGCAAGAGACACTCACCAAAGTGGATTCGAACTCCAGGGAGATGGCCCCCAAGGCATTTTCCAACTGCTCCTTTCTGGTAATGTCCATGATCACGACCTCAGTGGGCTCACTTATCTTTCGGATGTCCCACCACATGACCTGGTGGGAGGAGGGGTGACTGTGAGACCTGCAGGCCCTGCATTCCCCACCCCACTGCTTTTGCCTTCCCCACCCCCGCCCCACCTTCCTGGGGCCAGCCACTGGGCCAAAAAGGATGGGGCTCCCAGCAATCCATGGGAGCAAATACACTTTGAGGATTGCTGCTCTGTCCACAGTCCCCACACCTGGCTGACCCTCAGAGTCACCGGCAAGCTTCATAAAATCCAGATGTGGGGACCTTGCCCCCAACCTACTGAACCAAAACCAGGCGAAAGGCCAAGAATCTGTACAAGCCGAGACTCCCCGCCATAAGGCGATGTCCAGCAATGTTAAAAACACACACGTTTCCTGACCTAGAAGTCCCGCTGCCAGCAATGACTGCCGTAGATTATCCCCACTCGTGTGCAATAATCTGTGTATAAAGACGCTCTCTGGTACATTTTGGGGAGTAGCAACAAACTACTAGAATCCATATATAAATAATGGCGTGCCCACACAATGCCATGATTAACAGGCACGGGGCAGCAGTTTAAGAAACATGAAACTATCTCCAAGGCACACAAGATGAAAAACGTCAAGTACAGAATAGTGTGCAAAGTGTACAAAAAGAAAGTGAAGAAGGGAGATGTGTTTCCTTGACTATGCAGAGACTAGCTCTGAAGGCAGACGTAAGAGATGGATGCCTGCAGGAGGCGGGAGGAAGGCATTTTCCTTTTTGTACCTATTAGATTCTATTCCATGGGCATGTATTACCACTATTCGATTTTAAAATAAAGTGTTAGGCCAGGAGCTCATGCCTGACACCTGTAATCCCAGCATTTTGGGAGGCCAAGGCAGGTGGATCACCTGAGATCAGGAGTTCGAGACCAGCCTGGCCAACTTTGCGAAACCCCCATCTCCACTAAAAACAAAAAAATTAGCCGGGTGTGGTGGTGGGTGCCTGTAATTGCAGCTACTTGGGAGGCTGAGACAGGAGAATTGCTTGAACCCAAGAGGCAGAGATTGCAGTGAGCCAAGACTGCGCCATTGCACTCCAGCAAGTGGGCAAGTCGTCTCAAAACAAAATAAAATATAAAATAAAATGTGTTAAAGGAAATGTCCCCAGGGATTCTGATGGGGAACCAGGGAACTGTTACTGTCTCCTCCTTCCCCTGCCTCCCCAGTGTCTGGCCGGTGGGTACCTGCCCATCTGTGGATGCTGAGAAGCACTCGGTACCCGTCTTTGACTGCAGCCAGATGGTGCCATACACAGGGTCTCGGTGGCTGAACTCGATGGTGGATAGGTCAGCCACCAGGCTGCCCTTCCGGGTGTCCCAGCAGGCTGGTGAGGAAGGAGAGGAAGAAGCGGTGGAGGTGGGCAAGGGTTTCCTTCTCTGGGCAGGGAGCGGTGGCGGTGGTTGGTGGAGGGGGGGGGTGCCTGCTGCTTCTGGTTTGGCAGGTATGTGGTGTTTTAGAATCAGGGCTTGGTTCCAATCAGCCTGAGTTTCCTACCAGCCCCCACGGACCCTCTGGAGAAACCCCAAGGGTGCAAGCTTCATTCAGTCCTTGAGCCCCTCCCAGGCATCGACTCCCTACACAACACTCGACCCAGGGAAAGCCTCTGGGGACAGGACAGGCAGAGCGGCAGGGGAACACATGAGGGTGGTCAGGGAAGGCCTCCTGGAGGAAGTGACAGGTTGCTGAGATGGAAGGCCAGCCTCAGGATGGAGGGAGCCAGGCGAGAGGAGAGCTAAGTCCCTGCCACCGGGAAATGCACGTGGAAAGGCCCTATTGAGGCGAATCTCTCTGCTGCATTAGCTCATTCCCTTTGATCCTTTGCACCTCTGCTGCCTCTGTTGGAGAGAAACTCACAGAGCTTTAGCCTTTACTGTGATCTGTTATCAGTGCTTTGCCAAGAATGACGGAAGGTTATCTATCCGTTGTCCTGTTGGGTTTCGTTTCCATTTTCCCATGAGTGCACAGTGAGGACTCACCCTGTCACTCAGAGCTGTTTCTACTTAGTATTTCTTGGAGAAATACTAAGTCAAAGCTTATGAACTAAGTACTTTTAAGTAGTTACAAATAGCAAAGTACTTCATTCATAAGCTTTGACTTAGTATTTCTCCAAGTCTAAGGCATTTGCCCCTGAAATGAGCTGGTCCAGAAACATGTTTTCTTAGATACGCCTGCTCAGCCAGGCACAGGGGTACATGAGGAGGCTGAGGCAAAAGGATTGCTTGAGCCCAGGATTTCAAGACCAGCTTGGGCAACATAGTGAGACCCCGTCTCTACAAAAATGTTAAAAAATAAGCTGGGCATGGTGGTACATCCCTGTAGTCCCCACTGCTCGGGAGGCTGAGGTGGGAGAATTGCTTGAGCCTGGGAGGTTGAGTCTGCAGTGTAAGATTGTGTCACTGCACTCCAGCCTCGGGCAACAGAGCAAGACCCTGCCTCAAAAAATAAAGACAGGCCAGGCGTGGTGGCTGATGCCTGTAATCCCAGCGCTTTGGGAGGCTGAGGTAGGCGGGTCACTTGAGGTCAGGAGTTTGAGACCAGCCTGGCCAACATGGTGAAAGACTTGTCTCTACTAAAAATACAAAACAAAAAATCAGCCAGGTGTGATGGCAGGTGCCTGTAATCCCAGCTTCTCAGGAGGCCGGAGAATCACTTGCACCTGGGAGGCAGACGTTGCAGTGAGCCGAGATCACACCATTGCCCTCCAGCCTGGGCAACACAGTGAGACTAGGAGAGTATCTCAAAAACAAAACAAAAAATAAAAATAAAAGATAAGCCTGCTCTGCTTCGGCAAAGCAGTGCTCAAGGGCAGGTCCCACTGGGTCCCACGTGGCCCTAGAGGGTCCTTCTTGGAGCAGCAGAGCACCAGAGCCTGGGCTGGCATGAGCTGGCATGAAAAGCCACTGAAAGAGGTTATGAATAATGAGTGAGGCAAGGCTCCTGAATTAATCATGGCAAAGTGGCTCTGCTTCAGGCTTTTAGAGGTCTGGCACCCAGATAATTTGGCAGGGACGTTTAAGGGAGCCCGGGTCTGTTCCATACTCTGAAGGCTCCCCTGGACAGGGGGCAGCAGGTCTGAGAGGGAGCTTGGAGCCTCAGGAAGCAGCTGACTACAGAGAGTTTCCCAGAAGGGGTTTCTCAGCCATCCTGGCCCCCACTGCGGCAAAAGTGTGAGAACATACGCAGGTAGGAGTGTGGGATTCTTTTCATGCCCAGGGGCAAGACTATCCTGGGTGTAGCTATGGGTTGGGTGTCTGGCGACTTCAGGGTCAGGGGAACAGAACAGGTAGGGACATTCAGAGCCAATCCAGGCAGGTGACTTCTGATCTCACTAGGTATTGGAAAAAAAAAAAAAAAAGGCAGTTTTGGCTGGGTGTGGTGGTTCATGCCTATAATCCCAGCACTTTGGAAGGTCAAGGTGGTGGATCATTTGAGGTCAGGAGTTTGAGACCAGCCCGGCAAAACATGGCAAAACTCTGTTCCTATTAAAAATACCAAAATTAGCCAGGTGTGGTGGCACGTGCCAGCCACTCAGGAGGCTGAGGCAAGAGAATCACTTGAACTCCGGAGACAGAGATTGCAGTGAGCCGAGATCGCACCACTGCACTCCAGCCTGGGTGACAGAGTGAGACTCTGTCTCAAAAAAAAAAAAAAAAAAAAAATCAGTTATCCAGGTGTGCCATCAACAAACATTGTGGAGTAAGGACCTCCAAAAATTCTCTCCTCCATAATAGCAGTGAGAAAACTGGCAAAAATGGTCAGAATCAACTTTTTCGGAACTCTGGAAATTAGCTAGAGGCTTACAGCAGTCAGGAGAATGTTTATTCAAGAAAAACAGTAGAATCTTGGTTGAAAAAAAACCAGTGGTATTTTCACTTGCCCTAGTTAAGATAGCACACTCTGCAGTTCCTCAGTGGCCTTGAAAAATCACATTCTGTGTTCCTGGAGAAAAACAGCAGCCTGGCGCCACCAGAGGGAGCAGAATGGGCTGGAGCTCCTTTCAAGTCTCATGCCCAGAGAACTGTCATTATCTAACCTGTCTGGTGGTTCCCTGATAAGGCTCCTGCAAGGTTGGCTGTAAATGACTTGGTTCAGCCTTTGCCTGGTGTGAAAAGTCTTTTCATCAGGATGTAATTGCAGGCAACTGACTAACTCTGCAGCTTCCTGAGGCAGTAGATAACAGGGGCAGCAAGGAATAGACCGACGAAAAGGCTTAAAAGGAAAAGCTGGGCCAGGTACAGTCACACCTGTAATCCTAGCACTTTGGGAGGCTGAGGCAGGACTGCTTGAGGCCAGGAGTTCACAACCAACCTGATCAACACAGCAAAACCCTGCCCCTATTTTTTCTCTCTCTCCCCCTCCCTCCCTCCTGTGCGCTCTCTCTCTCTCTCTCTCTCTCTCTCTCTCTCTCTTTTTCTCTTTATTTCTCTCTTTAGAGACAAGATCTCATTATGCTGTCCAGTCTAGTTTTGAACTCTCGAACTCAGGCGATCCTCCTGCCTTGGCCTCCCAAAGTGCTAGGATTACAGGCGTGAACCACCATGCTTGGCCTCTATTATATTTAAACAAAAAACTAAATAAATAAAAGGAAAAGCCGGAGCATAATGTGTCCACAAGGGCTTTGAACAAAGCTCTGACATATTCCTGGGAGTCTAGAAGGTCACATGCGTGGATAGAACTGTGTGCATGCCCAGAGCTGTGTCATGCTCAGGAAAGCCGACAAAGCCATAAACTCTCATCTCTGGCTGACCTCATCTCTGCACTGACGCTAAGACAGAGTTGACAATGGCTTGGTGCGTGTCAAGGTATGCTCACACGCACACAGAGCCCCTTAGCAGAGAAGGGGAGGTGTTTTTGGTGACAGATGCTTAAGGGAATTTTTGTCCAATCATTCACTAATCACTAAGCTAAGCAGAGACTACAGTGGGCACATGTGACAGAGAATACAGACTTTCCAGAACCAGCTGAGAAAATTCATGAATGCAACACAGGACAACTACAGCGAACGGCGATGGCACACACTCTGCGAGGCCTGTCGGCCTGATCTACAAAGTTGCCACCTTAGATCATACACAAAGTATAGTTTTTAATAAAAAATATTATAAGACATGCCAAGAAATAAAAATATATGGCCCATGACAGGAATGAAAAGGCAATAAATAGAGACTGTCCCCAAGAAGCCCGAATGTCAGCCTAACTACACAAAGGCCTTACATCAGCTCTGCTAAACACACTCAGAGAACTAAAGGAAGTCACATCGAAAGAACTCAAGAAAAGCATGAGACGATATCTCACCAAATAAAAAGTACAATAGACAGAAATTATTAGTAGTAGTATTGGAGACAAGAGTTTCGCTTTGTTGCCCAGCCTGTAGTGCAGTGGCATGATCTCGGCTCACTGCAACCTCCGCCTCCTGGGTTCAAGCAATTCTCTTGCCTCAACCTCCCAGCTAGGTGGGACTACAGGTGCATGCCACCACACCTGACTGATTTTTTTTTTTTTTTTTTTGTATTTTAGTAGAGACAGGGTTTGATCATGTTGCCCAGGCTGGTCTTGAACTCCTGAGCTCAGGTAATCCACCCACCTCAGCCTCCCAAAGTGCTGGGATTACAGGCATGAGCCACTGCACCCGAACAAGACAGAAATTACTTTTTTAAAAAAGAGCAAATAGAAATTCTGGAGCCAATAACCAAAATAAACATAAGGTAGAGAAGCTTCAGGATAGCATATCTGAGCAAGCAGAAGAATCACTGAACTTGAAGATGAGTCAATTGAGAGTATGCAGTCTGAGGAATAGAAAGAAAAGAGAACAAAGAGAAACAGAGTCTAAAGACCTATGGGACACCATCAAGCATGCCAACATACACATAATGGAAGTCGCAGAAGGAGAGGAGAAAGAGAAAGGACAGAAAAGGATATTTGAAGAAATAATGGTTGTAAATATTCCATATTTGATTAAAAAAAATCAATCTATACATCCAAGAAACTCAATGAATTCCAGGTGGGATAAATCCAAAGATATCCATACCTTGAAACATAATCAAAGCTGAAGCCAGAGACTCTTGAAAGAAGCAAGAGAAAAAATGACTAATCACATACATGGGGTCATCAATGAGATTAACAGCTGAAGCTGGGCGAGGTGGCTCCCGCCTGAAATCCCAGCACTTTGGGAGGCTGAGGTGGGAGAACTGCTTGAGGCCAGGAGTTCGAGACCAGCCTGGGGTAACAGAGCAAGACCCCATCTCTACAAAAATTAAAAAATAAAAAAGTAGCTGGGTGTGGTGACATGCACCATCATCCCAGCTACTCGGGAGGCTGAGGAGGATTGCTTGAGCCCAGGAGTTTGAGGCTGCAGTGAGCTATGATCATGGCACTGCATTCCAGCTTGGGTGACAGAGTGAGATGCTGTCTCTAAAAAAAAAATAGAAAAAAAAAAAAGAAAGAAATGATAAGGGAATTAAAATGGTACACTAGAAAATACGTAACACAAAAGAAGGCAGTTATGGAGAAAGACATATAGAAAAAAGCAAAATGGCAGATGTAAAATCCTACTTTATCAGTAATTACATTAATGTAAATAGATTAAACTCTCCACTTAAAACCAGAGATTGACAGAATAGATTAAAAGGAAAAAAATTATAATCCAGGCAGGGCACCGTGGCTCACGCCTGTTATCCCAGCACTTTGGGAGGCTGAGGTGGGCAGATCACTTGAGGCTAGGAGTTCGAGACCAGCCTGGCCAACGTGGTGAAACCCTGTCTCTACTAAAAACACAAAAATTAGCCTGGCTTGGTGGCTCCCACCTGTAATCCCAGCTATTTGGGAGGTTGAGGCAGGAGAATAACTTGAACCTGGGAGGCAGAGGTTGCAGTGAGCCGAGATTGTGCCACTGCACTCCAGCTTGGTGACAGAGAGAGAGACTCCATTTCAAAAAAAAAAAAAAAAAAAAAAAAAAAAAAAAAAAAAAAAAAAGATCATCTGTATGTCAGCTATATCTAATCTACAAGAGACGTATTTTATTTTTATTTTTGTTTTTTTTTGAGATGGAGATATTATATACTGATAAAAGGGTGAATTAACTAAGAAAACATAACAACTGTAAACATGTATATATACCAAATAACATAGCCTTAATATACAGGAAGCAAAATCTGACAAAATTGAAGGAGAAATAGACAATTCAACAATAATAATTGCAGATGTCAGTATCCGACTTTCAACAATAGATTGAATAGTAACGACTAGGTGAAAGATCAGTGAGGAAATAGAAGTCTTGACCAGCACTGTGAACAAGACCTCCCAGACATCTACAGGACACGCCACTGGGCAATAAGCAGAAGACAGTCTTCCCAAGTGCTCATGGGAAGGATAGATATCCAGGATAGATAATATACTGGGCCATAAAACAAGTCTCAATAAATTTTAAAAGACTGAAATAAGGCCAGGCATAGTGGTTTACGTCTGTAATCCCTAGCATTCCAAGAGGCCAGCTGAGGCAGGTGGATCACTTGAGCCCAGGGGTTTAAGACCATCCTGGGCAACATAGTGAAACCTATGTCTACAAAAACTACAAAAATTAGCCAAGCATGGTGGTACATGCCTATAGTCCCAGCTACTCAGGAGGCTGAGGTAGGAGGATTGCCTGGACCCAGGAGGTCAAGGCTGCAATGAGCTATGATTGGGCCACTGCACACCAGTCTGGGCAACAGAGCAAAACTCTGTATCAAAAAAAAAAAAAAAAAAAAAGGTTGAAATAATGGAAAGTGTATTTTCTGACCAAACTGAAATGAAACTAGGAATCCATAACCAAAGGAAAACTAGAACATTTATACATATGAAACAACACATTCCTAAACACCAATGGATCAAAGAAGAATTCAAAAGGAAACTAGAAAATACTTTGAAATAAATGAACATGAAAATATTCCACACCAAAGCCTATGGGAAGCACCTAAAGTCGTGTTTACAGGGAAATTTACAACTCTAGATGCCTATATTTTTAAAAATCCCAAATCAAGAGCTTAACTTTCCACCTTAAGAAATTTGAAAAATTAGAGCAAATTAAATTAAAAACAAACAGAAGGAAAGACGTAAAAAAAATATTGGTGTGAAAAGAAATAGAGAATTAAAAAACAACTGAGAAAAATCATTACAGCCAAAAGTTGGTTCTTTGAAAAGAAAATGAAATTGACAGCCCTCTAGGTAGTCTGACCAAGTAAAAAAGAGTAAAGTTGGATTCCTTTAATTACTAAATTACTGATTTCAGGAATGAAATTACTAAAGTCAGGAATGAAGTAGGGAAATTACTACCAACACTGCAGAAATTAAAATGATTATAAGGGAGCCAGGCATGGTCGCTCATACCTGTAATCCCAGCATTTTGGGAGGCTGAGGCGGGTGAACCAAGAGGTCGGGAGTTCAAGACCAGCCTGACCAACATGATGAAACTCCATCTCCACTAAAAATACAAAAATTAGCCAGGTGTGGTGGTGCATGCCTGTAATCCCAGCTGCTCAGGAGGCTGAAGCAGGAGAATCTCCTGAACCCTGGAGGTGGAGACTGCAGTGAGCTGAGATCATGCCACTGCACCCCAGCCTGGGCAACAGAGTGAGACCCCGTCTCAAAAAAAAAAAAAAAAGAAAGAAAGAAAGAAAAGAAAAGGATTGTAAGGGAACACTGTGAACAATTATATGTCAACTAGACAACCTGATGAAATGGAAAAGTTCCTAGAAAGACAGAAACTATCAAAACCAATTAAAGAACAGAAAATGTGAACAGATCTATAACAATAAAGGGACTGAATTAGTAATTTTTAAGTTTCCAAAGAAGAAAACGCGGGACTTCACTGATGAGTTCTACCAAACGTTTCAAGAATTAATACTGGCCAGGCCGGCGGCTCACACCAGTAATCCTAGCACTTTGGAAGGTCAAGGCAGGAGGATGACTTGAGGTCAAGAATTCGAGACCAGTCTGTCCAACATGGTGAAACCCCAAATCTACTGAAAAAATACAAAAATTGGCTGGGTGTGGTGGCATGAGCCTGTAGCTCCAGCTACTCAGGAGGTTGAGGCAGGAGAATCGCTGGAATCCGAGAGGTGGAGGCTGCAGTGAACTGAGATTGCGCTACTACACTCCAGCCTGGGTGATAGAGCGAGACTGTCTCAAAAAAAAAAAAAAAAAGAATTAATATCAATTCTTCATAAAATTCCAAACACAGAAGAGAAGGGAACACTTCCCAACTCATTCTGTAAGGCCAGTAGTATCCATAATCGTTAGCATGTGGGTTTCCCGGACTGCCTCTCCCAAAATGGGGCTCCCCGATGCTCTCATCATCCCTTTACGGCTGGCCCTAGTCAAATATTCTCTGACTTTACTTGAAGTATAGTTTTTAAAAACTGTTTATTTTGAGCTAATTTTAGATTTACAACAGTAGCAGGAGACACTGCTACAGTGTTAGCAAAACCTGCCTCGAAGGTGTCTGCAGCTGGTCAGCTATAGGAGGCCCCCACCCCTTGGTCCTCTATGGCCAAGCTCAGGGGCTCTGCCCCTCAAGAGCCTGGGTCCCTCCTTACCTATCTGTCCGTTGTAGCAGCCACCCAGGAGCACGTGGGAATCTTTGGGGTTGTACTCCAACGTAACGAGCGGAGAAGATGGCTTCAGAGTAAGTTCAGGCTTGTTGGGGTTTTCTAAAAGCAGAAAAAAATTAGCCCACCAGGACTGGAAAGAAAAGGACACGATCAACGGGGTTCACTCCTTCTGCAGGTGGGTAGCAGGGGCACGGTGGGGGGTGTGGTGGTGGGGGGGGAAGCTTGGAAGCCTCTCCAGTCTGTCCCCAGGCTACATCCCCTGGTCCGCCTTGGCCAGAATCTGGCATTCTTGATCCTAGGGGCTTTGCTGATGGTTTTTTTTTGGTGATCAGGATTGGGGTATGCCTATGTATGTGATAATTATATTTCTAGTTCAGTTCCCAGGTTTGGTGTCGAATGAGGTTTTGATACTAAGGTTTTTACGTAAAGTCAACTCTGTTAATTTCTTCGAACCAGGTCTGTGGATGCAGATGATGATGGAGTCCACCACCCCATGGGGCTGCTGTCAGAACTCACTAGCGGTGTGCCAGGCGTTAGCTCTGCACCTGGCACCGGCGTTAGCTCTGTGCCTGGCACCTACACGTTTATTTTAATGATGATGACAATAAAGGGAAGCCAGAGAGCGTGAAGCCACCACCATCTGCCCCCTGCCAGTGCCTTGCCAACCCTTCTGTAGACAATGGTTTGTGCTCCTAAATGGATACACTGCCATAGTCTTGCTCTATCACCCAGACTGGAGTATAGTGTCGTGATGGCTCACTGCAACCTCTGCCTCCTGGGTTCAAGTGATTCTCCTGCCTCAGTCTCCCGAGTGGCTGGGATTATAGGTTCCTGCCACCACGCCCAGCTAAGTTTTGTATTTTTAGTAGAGATGGGGTTTCACCATGTTAGCCAGGCTGGTCTTGAACTCCTGACCTCAGATAATCCACCTGCCTTGGCCTCCCAAAGTGCTGGGATTACAGGCATGAGTCACTGCGCCCGGCCTGATACACCCTTTAGGAGCTGAGAATTGGGATCCCATGGGGTCAGGTCTTCATGCCTTGGACTAACAATCTGGAATTGGAGGGCGTTTCCTGCTTCTGATTTGACCCTGCTTGGCTCTGCCTGAAACCAGACAAGGAAGGAGGGAGAAGAGTGGCTTCCTCCTCGGTTGTGGGTCCTTCCCTTGAGGCACGAACCCCGTAAGTGTTCATGACCTCCCGTCCCTCCTTCCCTCTCCACTCGTGCTGGTCCCAGCCCTCAGCTCTCCCAGGCCATGGGGACCCCCCTGCTTCTCACCCAGGTCCCAGATGTATGAATCGTTGCTCATGCCCACAGGTGCCCGCTGAAAATCCAAGCAGGAGTATGCCACTGCCAACTTCCTGTTGCCATCAGGGTGCCAGGAGAGGTGTGTGGCAGCCCTCTTGATTTCCTGGGGGTCCCTGCAGGGGAGAGGGAAGAGAGCAGAAGGCTGGATGTCAGGCTCCCCAATTTCTCTCTTTTCTTTTCCAGACAGTCTTGCTGTGTCCCCTAGACAGTAGCATGATCTCGGCTCACCGTGACGTCTGCCTCCTGGGTTCAAGTGATTATCTTGCTTCAGCCTCCTGAGGAGCTGGGATTACAGGCACCCACCACCATGCAAGGCTAATTTCTTTATTTTTCGTAGTGATGCGGTTTCCCCATGTTTCCTCGGCTGGTCTTGAACTCCTGACCTCAGATGATCCACCCGCCTCAGCCTCCCAACGGGCTGGGATTACAGGCCTGAGCCACCATGTCCAGCCCCTTGGATGATTCCTAATGCATCATCCTGCTTGAGTGGTCCATATAAGAGGTCAGAGCCCAGCAGGGTTGCAGGACAACAGGAAGGGCAACCCCCGCCCTGCACACCCCTCCTGCACGCCCCTTGATCACAGCATTTGGCCCTGCTCTGTACACCATGGGTCAGCCCTGCATTAGAAAAGAGTCCTTTCTGGTTGTGCTGGGACTGGGCTAGGTACTTCCCAGGGTCTGAAGTCAGTTGTGGTAGTGAAATGAATTCCCTGGAGTTGGCATTTGAGGCAACTCATTTCCAAAAAAAAAAAAAAAAAAAAAGAAAACACCAAAACACCTTTCGCCTCCATAGTCCTGCATCACCCAGACCCAAGGTCTGACCCCTGCAGGTCCAGAGGCCTCCCTTCCACATTCCCTTGGCACCTCCCCCTGCTCTATTTCAGCCTCCTGCTCATCTCCACTCATCTGATTGGACATGGACATCCTTGCTTTTTTTCTTCATGGTTAAAACCAAGGCCACAGAGCATGATCTTTCTCACTTCCACCCACTTCCCTTCTACCAGCCTTCAAGGCCAAGATGTCCTTCTTCCCCAGTCCTCTCCCCGCCCTGTTCCCAAGCTCTTCTTCCTATCAGCTTATTTCGTCCACCCTACAAAGGTGCTCTGGGATGGGGTACTCGGTTCCTGGGGCTGCTCCAACAAGGTCCCACAAACTGAGTGGCTTCAAATGACAGAAATTGATTCTCTCACAGTTCCAGATGCCAGAAGTCCAAAATCACAGACGTTCTCCTCACATCAAGTATATAAACATACATACATGTTCGGGCGCGACGGCTTACACCTGTATTCCCAGCACTTTGGGAGGCCAAGGCAGGCGGATCTCTTGAGGTCGAGAGTTCGAGACCAGCCTGACCAACATGGAGCAACCCCTTCTCTACTAAAAATACAAAATTAGCTGGGTGTGGTGGTGCATGCCTGTAATCCCAGCTACTCGGGAGGCTGAGGCAGGAGAATCGCTTGAACTCAGGAGGCAGAGGTTGCGGTGAGCTGAGATCGTGCCATTGCACTCCAGCCTGGGCAACAAGAGTGAAACTTCATATCAAAAACAAAACAAAACAAAAAACCAAAAAACCATACATGGACATTTATACATACATACATCTATACATGTATGCATATATTTATACACATATCCAGATGCTCCTTGACTAACGATGCTGGCTACGTCGGATAAACCCATGGTAAGTTGGAAATATCAGGAGCTAGAAACGCATCGAATCCACCTATCTACCGAGCATCACATCTTAGCCGAGCCTGCGTGCTCAGAATACCTATATTAGCCTACAGTTGGGCAAAATTGCCTAACACAAAGCCTGTTTTATCATAAAGAAGTGAACAGCGCATGTAATTTACTGAACACTGTACTGAGAGGGAAAAACAGAGTGGATGTATGGGCACTTACAGTACGGTTTCTACTGGATTTGTATTGCTTTTGCACCATTGTGAAATAAAAAAATGGTTTCAGTTGGGGACTGCCCAAAAGTGTCACTCTGCACACACTTCCGCACCGGCTTTGTTTTGCTTTGATTTTCAAACACTGAAGCCTGGAAATCACTCTGTTTCGGCACATACAAAGCTGCAGCGCTCATTTTCCTTTTCTGTTTTTCTTTTTGGAGACAGAGTCTCACTCTATTGCCCAGGCTGGAGTGCAGTGGCGCAATCTCAGCTCGCTGCAACCTCTGCCTCCCGGGTTCAAGTGACTCTCCTGCCTCAGCCTTCCCAGTAGCTGGGATTACAGGTGTGTGCACCACACCCAGCTAATTTCTTTTAAAATTTTATTTAGATGTCATCTCACTCTGTCTCCAGGCTGAAGTGCAGTGGCACAATCTTGGCTCACTGCAACCTCCACCTCCTGGGTTCAAGTGATTCTCCTATCTCAGCCTCCCAAGGAGCTGAGGTGCATGCCATCATGCCCAGCTAATTTTTATGTTTTTTAGTAGAGATGAGTTTTCGTCATGTTGATCAGCCTGGTCTTGAACTCCTGACCTCAGATGATTACATGCCTCGGCCTCCCAAAGTGCTGGGATTACAGGTATGCGCCACCACGCCGGCTAATTTTTGTATTTTAAGTAGAGACGGGGTTTCACCATGTTGGCCAGGCTGGTCTCGAACTCCTGACCTCAGGTAATGCACCCGCCTTGGCCTCCCAAAGTGCTGAGATTACAGGCGTCAGCCACTGCACCCGGCCTGCTGGCTCATTTTACCAGCATTGTGTGGGTGTACTGGAATTGCCAGAACCAGGCCTCTGCAGATGGGCTTAGCCAGTCTTTGGCTGGCACATACCCTCTGCAGTGCATATCCACACTTGCAGTGATTTCACACACACACACCTGTGGGATGAATCCCTGGTGTCAAACTGCTGTCTTCTGGGGTTATTCACAGATATTCATGCATGAGTGCAGGCTTGGGCGGGGTCCTGTTTGCCCACAGCACTGCTAGCTGCTTATGCTAGGTACCCGTATTTACTCTACATTGTGGGAACACGCCCCACTTGTACATAGCTTGGCAATTTCACTTTCCCTGGAGTCCGTATTCCGTTTCCATCAACCAGACCCGCCCCCAGAGCAGGGCCACTTCTCTGCTGGGTGCCTTATTACCATGTCACTCACCATGCTTGGAGCACAAAGAGTACTGCACCCAGGGCACGCAATGACTGGCAAGGAGTCACCTTTGGGGGCACCCACGTCCACGCCTTTGGGGGTGGCAGAGGGTGGCCAGACACCTGCCTAGCTATGGCGCTACCTGAAAACATTGATGGTTTTAGCCGAAGGGGCCTCCTCTGTCACTTCCACGGCCTCCTCGTCATGGAAATACTCCTCGTAGATGTCAATGGCGTTGTTCTGCTTGATGCAGTGCTCCATGATCTGGGGGGACACATCGGAAGTCCTTAGCCGTAAAGGGAGGTCCTTTCAGATTGCTCAGGCCTGTGATGGCGTCTGGGAGGGACAGGATATAGCCAGGGACCTTTTCCCATCCACCTAACCATGTGCTTTCAACAGGGGAATTTTCAATTGGTTTTTGGGGGTAAAATAATATTACTTTTTATGTACGAAGCATAGAAATACATGCAGCACATGAAAGATACACAATATGTCTATGGCATTCACATTTTATGGGCCGGGCACCATGGCTCATGCCTGTAATCCCAGCACTTCGGGAGGTCAAAGTGGGTGGATTACTTGAGGTCAGGAGTTTGAGACCAGACTGACTAACATGGTGAAACCCCGTCTCTACCAAAAATGCAAAAAAATAAAATAAAATAAAAATAAAAATTAGCTGGGCATGGTGGCAGGCACCTGTAATCCCAGCTACTTGGAAGGCTGAGGCAGGAGAATTGCTTGAACCCAGGAGGTGGAGATTGCAGTGAGCCAAGATCACTCCACTGCACTCCAGCCTGAGGGCCAGAGTGAGCCTCCACCTCAAAAACAACAACAACAAATATTTTATGGAGAAAGGAGGCCCTTAGAAAAAATCTGAGGGGCAATAATGAAAAAAAGATTGAAGAACACCATGTTAGCCAAACAAGTTAGTACTGTTATTCTGAGACAGAGTCTTGCTCTGCCACCCAGGCTAGAATGCAGTGAGTGGCACGATCTAGGCTCATGCAGCCTTCCTCTCTCGGGTTCAAGCAAGTCTTCTGGCTGGGCCTCCTGCGTAGCTGAAACTGCGGGCACCTGCCACCACAGCTGGCTAATTTTTGTATTTTTAGTAGAGATGGGGTTTCGCCATGTTGGCCAGGCTGGTCTCAAACTCCTGAGCTCAAGTGATCTGCCTGTCTCAGCCTCCCAAAGTGCTGGGATTACAGGTGTGAGCCACCAAGCCCAGCCCAAACAAAATTATTAATCTCTCCATATGTGTGTGTGTGTGTGTGTATCACTCATCTTTTTCTCTCCGTGTGTGTGTGTGTGTCTCATCTCCTTTTTCCTATCCTTGCAGACAGCTGGTTCCTCCACCCAGAATGGCCTCCCCTTACAGTAAATGTCCAGCAAAGGACAACCAAGCCCTGCCACTTCTTCCAGGAAGCCTTCCCTGATCCCTTCAGCAAGAGATTGAACCTCTCTTCTCATGGAGTAAAAGAACAAGTCATCCTTCTCTTTCAGCATTTCTTTCTTTTTATGTTATCTGGCGAAGTCTCTGTACTGATCTTTGACCTCCAATGCACTGCAGACTCTTTGGGATGGCATGTATGGGAGATTCTTTTTCTTTTTTTTTTTTTCTTTTTTTTTTTTTTTTTGAGACGGAGTTTCGCTCTTGTGACCCAGACCGGAGTGCAATGGCGCGATCTCGGCTCACCGCAGCCTCCGCCTCCTGGGTTCAGGCAATTCTCCTGCCTCAGCCGCCTGAGTAGCTGGGATTACAGGCACATGCCACCACGCCCAGCTAATTTTTTGTATTTTTAGTAGAGACGGGGTTTCACCATGTTGACCAGGATGGTCTCGATCTCTTGACCCTGTGATCCATCCCCCTCGGCCTCCCAAAGTGCTGGAATTACAGGCTTGAGCCACCGCTCCTGGCCTGTCTTTTTCTTTTAATTAAAATTTTAAATTTCTTTTTTCTTAAAACAAAATTTTTTGCATTGGCACATATGTAGAACAATTATGTGATATTCAGTTTGCAACCTCTGCTGTGCCTGCAGAATTTTAAAACTCAGTCCAATTTTTTTTTTTTTTTTGAGACAGAATTTCCTTTTGTCACCCAGGCTAGAGTGCAATGCCACAATTTCGGTTCACTGCAACCTCCACCTCCTGTGTTCAAGCGATTCTCCTGCCTCAGTCTCTGGAGTAGCTGGGATAACAGGTGTGTGCCACCACGCCCAGGTAATATTTTGTATTTTTAGTAAAGATGGGGTTTCACCATGTTAGTCAGGCTGGTCTCGAACTCATGACCTCAGGTGATCCACCTGCCTCGGCCTTCCAAAGTGCTGGGACACTGTGCCCGGCCCCAAATTTGTCGAAAGAATGAATGATCCCTACTGGCTGCTAGGCAGAGCACTTTGGGGGTCCCCTTTGCCTGAGGTCAGACTCCTCCTAATGCCTGGTCAGCCCTTGGACCAGGTCCCTGCCTTCCCTGTTGGTCTGCGATTGGGAACTCTGTTCCAAGACAGAAGGCTCCTTCAGGTAGCAACTGGTCCCCTTCCCCAGTGTCCACAAGAGCCACACAGGGAGGGCCAGGCACAGCTGGGGCACTGCCCTCCCTTGGGGAGCCTGAGGGGTGGGGCTCTCGAGGCAGGGCGGAAGGAAGCCTTACAGAGCCGAGCTGCATGATGGTGTTGATGTAGTTCTCATCCTTCTCCACTTTCTTCCGGAAGCGGATGGTCTGCTCCAGCTCCAGGGGGTTCACATCCTTGGGCCAGCCCCCCTCAACGTGGTTAACTCCCCGAGTCTCCATCTCAAACCGCTCTGTGTTGGCCTAAACAGAGAGCCGCGGGAGGAAAGACATTACCCTGGTATACTCACAAACGCTTGGCCACGTCTGCAAAGCAGGACCCGGGCTCCCAGGGCTGGATGCTGAGGCCCATGGCCAAAGCCGCAGTATCTTCAGATGCAGGCAAGGAACTTCCGGGTCCTCAGATGGGCACAGGTAGCTGCAACAGCGCGACCCCGTGGAGCTAGGCAGCTTTGCAGCTGGTAGCTGTGGTCATGAAAATCCAGTTCAGACCTTCTCCAAATCCTAATGGACTAGAGAAACCGCCATCTGCTCTGTGAGAATCCAAAGAAAATGTGAATTATCTTTCTCCACCCTGTCCTTAACAATGTCACCCTACCACCAACAATGTCAATGTCACAGAAATTGAATGTTAAGAGTAACTCTGCTGGGCGCGGTGGCTCACGCCTGTAATCCCAGCACTTTGGGAGGCCAAGGCGGGCAGATCAGCTGAGGTCGTGAGTTCGAGACCAGCCTGACCAGCATGGAGAAACCCCGTCTCTACTAAAAATATAAAAATAGCCGGGTATGGTGGCACATGCCTGTAATCCCAGCTACTTGGGAGGCTGAGGCAGGAGAATTTCTTGAAACTGGGAGGCAGAGGTTGCAGTGAGCCAAGATGGTGCCATTGCACTCCAGCCTGGGCAACAAGAGACAGAGGGAAACTCTGTCTCAAAAAAAACCAAAAAAGTTATTAACTCTGAGTTTGAATTAGTTTTGCCTGTCCTCTGTAGCAGGGAGGACAGTTTTACATGTGAGGGGTTGCCACTTTGCCTTCTTTCCTTGTTTTTTGAGACAGGGTCTCACTCTGTTGCCCAGGCTGGAGGACAGTGCCAAGATCTCAACTCACTATAGCATTTTTTTTTTTTTTTTTTTGGAAATGGAGTTTCACTCTTGTTGCCCAGGCTGAAGTGCAATGATGCAATCTCAGCTCACTGCAACCTCTGCTCCCCAGGTTCAAGTGATTCTCCTGCCTCAGCCTCCCCAGTAGCTGGGATTATAGGCACACGCCACCACACTTGGCTACTTTTTGTATTTTTAGTAGAGACAGAGTTTCACCATGTTGGCCAGGCTGGTCTCAAACTCCTGACCTCAGGTGATCCACTCGCCTTGGCCTCCTGAAGTGCTGGGATTACAGGCATGAACCGCTGTGCCTGGCCAGTACAGCTTTAACTTCACAGGCTGAAGTGAACCTCCCGTCTCAGCCTCCCAAGTAGCTGGGACTACAGGTGTGAGCCACCACACGTGGCTAATTTTTGTTTTTCTTTTGTAGAGACGGTGTTTTGCCATATTGCCCAGGCTGGCCTCAAACTCCTGAGCTGAAGTGATCCTCCTGCCTTGACCTTCTTTTCACTTTTTTTTTTTTTTAATATTTATTTATTTAATTTTAGAGACAGGGTCTGGCTCTGCTGCCCAAGCTGGAGTGCAGTGGTGCAATCACAGCTCACTGCAGCCGTGAACTCCTGGGCTTAAGCAATCCTCCCGCCTCTGCCTCCTAAGTAGCTGGGACCACAGGTGTGAGCCACCACACCTGGCTAATTAAAAAAAAAAGTGTAGAAATGAAATCACACTATGTTGCCCAGGTGGGTAAGTCACACTATGCTTGCCAGGTCTCAAGCATCCTCCCACCTTGATCTCTCAAAGTACTGGGATCACAGGCCTGAGCCAGTACCCCTAGCCCTTCCCATTTCTAAGAAATTGTGGTAAAATACACGTAACATAAAATTTCCCATGTAATAATTTTAACGTGTACACTGCAGCCACATGATTATACACAGTGCTGTGGAACCATCAACCCCAGCTACTTCCAACACTCTTACGTCACCCAGAATGGAAACCCCATCCTCATTACATCACTCTCATCTCCTTTCCATTTTTTCTTTTTTCTTATTTATTTATTTATTTAATTATTTGTTTGTTTTCTGAGAGTCTTGCTCTGTCCCCCAGGCTGGAGTGCAGTGGTGTGATCTCAGCTCACTGCAACCTCCGCCTCCCAGGTTCAAGCAATTCTCCTGCCTCAGCCTCCTGAGTAGCTAGGATTACAGGTGTGTGCCACTGCGCCTGGCTAATTTTTGTATTTTTAGTAGAGATGGGGTTTTACTCTATTGGCCAGGCCAGTCTTGAACTCCTGACCTCAGGTGATCCACCCACCTTAGACTCCCAAAGTGTTGGGATTATAGGCATGAGCCACCGTGCCCGGCTCTCCTTCCCATTTTTAAGCCAGCTCTCACAAAAGGTAAAAGTTTGGATCAGCACCATAGGAAAGGTTTAAAAAAAAAAAAAAAAAGTCTGGAAAAGGCTAGGTGCTGGAAAGAACAAGAGGTCCCCAGGGTGTGGCCCACGTGGTGGTCACTCTGCTTCCTGGCTACCCCACAGCCACAGGCGTTCTCATCCCAGAGACAGCAGTTGGTCCTGGGAGAGTAGCACCTAATTCGTGTGAACTGTGAGCCACTGGAACCACCCACATCCACCTGACTGTTGAACGTGTTTCAGCCAAATCGAGTGATTGGTTATCTTTTTCTCTCTGCGGTTCTTGACCCAATCAGGGTGAATCACTTAGTTCCTACAGACAGAAAACTCTCTGGCCTCTGAACACATGACCACAGCCCTCAAGATAAGTTCTCTTATCGTGGAGGCCCCCTCTTGCCGGGACTTTCTGTGGGACACTTCCCTTTTCTCCAGCTGGGTAGTTGCCTGTAGATACACATCTCTGCCCCTCAGAATATCTCTCCCAGGCTGGGCACAGTGGCTGATGCCTGTAATCCCAGCACTTTGGGAGGCCAAGGTGGGAGGACTAGTTGGGCCCGGGACTTTGAGACCAGCCTGGGCAACATGGCAAAACCTTGTCTCTAGAAGAATTACAAAAATTAGCCAGGCATGGTGGCGCACACCTGTAGTCCCAGCTCGCCATGCTGCCCAGGCTGGTCTTGAACTTCTGGGCTCAAGTGATCCACCTGCCTCAGCCTCCCAAAGTGCTGGGATTACAGGTATGAGCCACCGCATCGGGCACAATACAGTTTTTACTGAACCAGGGTTTATTAGGAGGCAAGAGGAAAGATTGATGGTGATGACGATGGATTGAATTCCCTGCCATGCTGGCTGTGAAACACACAGAACACAGATTTGAGACCCCTGGGCCTCTTCTTGAACCCCTCCTCCCCCTTCCAGCTACCAGGGAGGCTGAGGCAGGAGGATCTATTGAGCCTGGGAGGCAGAGGTTGCAGTGAGTCAACATTGTGCTACTGTATTCCTGGGTGACAGAGTGAGACCCTGTCTCAAAAACAACAACAACAAAACTCCCAGCTGCACCAAACACCTGTAACTCTGGACACAACTCTGGTAAGTGTCTTCAAGGTGAAATAAGAGCTCTTGGGAGAGGGAGCATTGTGATTTGCACTCCCCTGGCTCAGGAAGGCTGCTGGCTGGGTCTTCTCCTGACGCTGCGCACTGCGTGGACCTCAAGGGGAACCTCTGGCCTCACTTCCAGCATCTGCACTTGGTCCACTCTAACTGGCTTTCAGGTGGACAAGGACCCCCAGAACCACTCACCTGCCTCAGCGGCCACGCTGCCCACCATACCTCCCAGGCTGGGGCCCTTGGGGCAGGGACTCACCTCATGTTCCGACATGCTGACCGAGCACTGGATGCCCGTGTCCACTGGGTTCCGCTCCACAAACTGCTCGGCCAGCGCGGGGTTGGGTGCGATGTCAATGTTCAGCTCGGCCTGGCGGTCCGAGAAATTGCACTGCTTCCCGAACTCGCTTCGCTTCTTGACGTACACGTACACAATCTCCATGGTGCCGGCTGCTGGGGGGGGCGGAGGAAGGGTATGAGGTGAGGGACCCCACCGGCCCCTTCCCCATCTCCACAGGTCCCGCCAGGACCACTCCAGGTTCTCAATCTGGTTGGGGCAGGAAGCAAGGGGTGCTGGGGAGAGCCTAGGGATTTGTCCACACGCTGCAACTGCGTTTAAGAAAATCCCCTGAGCGCTGACTCTATCCTGTTTAGTTCTTGCAATTGCTCTCTAAGGAGGGCAATACAAGTCACCATTTCGGCCAGGCACCGTGGCTCACATCTGTAATCCCAGCACTTTGGGAGGCGGATCACCTAAGGTCAGGAGTTCAAGACCAGCCTGGCCAATGTGGTGAAACCCCATCTCTACAAAAATACGAAAATTAGCCCGGTGTGGTGGCGCACACCTGTAATCCCAGCTACTCGGGAGGCTGAAGCGGGAGAATCACTTGAACCCAGAAGGAGAAGTTTATAAGGAGCCGAGATGATGCCATTGCACTCCAGCCTGGGCGACAGAGCAAGACTCTCTCTTAAAAAAAAAAAAAAAAAAAAAAGGCCGGACGCGGTTGCTCAAGCCTGTAATCCCAGCACTTTGGGAGGCTGAGGCAGGTGGATTGCCTAAGGGTGGAAGTTCCAGACCAGCCTGACCAACATGGAGAAACCCCATCTCTACTAAAAATACAAAATTAGCAGGGCATGGTGGCGCATGCCTGTAATCCTAGCTACTCAGGAGACTGAGGCAGGAAAATCGCTTGAACCTGGAAGGCAGAGGTTGTGGTGACCCGAGGTTGCACCATTGCACTGTAGCCTGGGCAACAAGAGCGAAATTTTGTCTCAGAAAAAAGAAAATCACCCTTTTCTTTGAAGGAGTTTGATGCTTAGATGCCCTCAGTGACCTGCCCAGGGTCCCATGGCTAACACAAGCTGCAGCTGGCCTGCCCCAATGCCAACGAGTTTACCCACCAAATGACACGGTTTCTGTCTTTTGTTTTTAGGCTTTTTCTTTTTTGGACAAAAGCTCACTCTGTCACTCAGGCTAGAGTGCAGGGGTGTGCTCACAGCTCACTGCAGCCTCAACCCCCTGGGCTCAAGTGATCCTCCCACCTCAGCTTCCCAAGTAGCTGGGACTATCGGTGTGTAGCACCATGCCTGGCTAAGTTTTGTATTGTTTTGTAGAGATGGGGTCTCGCCATGTTGCCAGACTGGTCTTGAACTTCTGGGCTCAAGTGATCCACCTGCCTCAGCCTCCCAAAGTGCTCGGATTACAGGTATGAGCCACTGCACCCAGCACAATACGGTTTTTACTGAATCAGTGTTTATTGGTGATGATGTTGGACTAAATTCCCTGCCATGCTGGGCATGAAACACACAGGACACGGATTTGAGACCCCTGGGCCTCTTCTTGAACCCCTCATTCCCCGCGCAATGACCCAATGACCCAATGCCCCACCCAACTGTCCAAAAGGCTCGTTGGTTGCCAGACTCTGGCCTCACCACTCTCTGGGCGCCCCCTGGAAATCTTGTCCCTCTAACCAGGACAGAGCTGAGAGTGGACCGGAGACAGAGAGAAAGCCAGGGGCTTTCCCGACAGGCGAGACGTGGAGGCCTTGGGAAAGCCTCTGACGTGTGTTACTGGTCACGGAAGACGCAGCAGGGAACTGGGAAGCGGGCTGGGCTGGGCCCTGATTCAACTTCTTGCCCTGTGTCATCAGCTGCATGACCTGGGCAGGGCCGCTTAGTCTTTCAGAGACCTGACACACCCACTGGATGCTGAGAAGTGAAATTAAAGTGTTCCAGCAGTGTCGAAGCCAGTGTTCACAGGCCATGCAAGGAAGGGTTTCTCACTGATGCTAATTAGAAGTCGGAAAAATGCAACAGGTGGTTCCCACAAATTGCCCTTGACGTTTCTGACTCCCCCATGACATCACTAGAGGCCACTGGGTCCGAAGGCTTGCTCAGTGAGATAAATGGCTGGCCACTTGACCTGTGTGCCGGTCACATCACACCTGGAGTTAGTGGAGCTGTCCATCTGCTGGCCACCTGGACTCTCGGAAATTGTGCCTTTGACAGAGTTCCCAGGGGTGCAGATTGTGGGTCTGTGTAAGGCTCCTGGGATTGCATGGAGCCCTAGGACAAAAGATGTGGATGGGTGGCTGGTGCTGGTGTGGGGAAGATAAAATGAAGGAGAGCTTGCCTTGGTAAATCTACAACCAAAGGCCTTTCAGTGCCCAAGAGATGAGGTGAGCAGGCTAGGCATCGTGGCTCATGCCTATAATCCCAGCACCTTGGGAGGCTGAGGTGGGTGGATCACTTGAGGTCAGGCGTTCAAGACCAGACTGGCCAACATGGTGAAAACTTGTCTCTGCTAAAAACACAAAAATTAGCCAGGCATGGTGGCGTGTGCCTGTAATCCCACTTACTCAGGAGGCTGAAGTAGGAGAATCACTTAAACCCAGGAGGCAGATGTTGCAGTGAGCTGAGATTGTGCCACTGTACTCCAACCTGGATAGCAGAGTGAGACTCCGCCTAAAAAAAAAAAAAAAGACTAGGTGAGCACGTTTGCCTGTGAACAGGTTTTGCTATTTTAAGTTTTAATTTTTAATTTTTGTGGGTATGTAGGTGTATATATTTATGGGACACTTGAGATGTTTTGATATAGGCATGCGATATACAACATACAATCCTGGGAAATGGGAAATCCATCCATCCCCTCAAGCATTTATCCTTTGTGTTACGAACAATCCAATTATACTCTTTCAGTTATTTTAAAGGTATAATTACATCATTTTGGCTATAGTCACCCTGCTCTCTATTAAATCCTAGATATTAATAATCACATGGAGAGTAGGGTATCCAGACCCTCAAGCATTTATCCTTTGTTAGTTATTTTAAAATGTACAATTAAGTTATTAACGACCTTAGTCACTACCTTGTGCTGTCAGATAGTAGGTCTTATTCATTCTTTTTTTTTTTTTTTTTTTTTTTTTTGTGAGACGGAGTCTCATTCTGCTACCCACGCTGGAGTGCAGTGATGCCATCTCTGCTCACTGCAACCTCTGCCTCCCAGGTTCAAGCGGTTCTCCTGTTTCAGCCTCCCAGGTAGCTGGGATTACAGGTGTGCACCACCACACCCAGCCGACAATGTTGACAAAAAGAGAAGAGAAGCCACAGACTTGGAGAAAATATTTGCAAATTATCTATCTGATAAAGAACTTGCCTCCAGAACATGTAGAGATGGACCCCATTCCAAGCACTGTGTGAACATTGGTTTCCAGGCACGCTCCTGCATGCCCGGCACCACCCTCAAAAGAGTTATCACAATTCCCATTAACATTTCTTTTGGCCACGCACAGTGGTTCTCATCTGTAATCCCAGCACTTTGGGAGACCGAGGCGGGCAGATCATATGAGTTCGGGAGTTCAAGACCAGCCTGACCAATGTGGAGAAACCCTGTCTCTACTAAAAATACAAAATGAGCTGGGCATGGTGGCACACGCCTCTAATCTTAGCTAATCGGGAGGCTGAGGCAGGAGAATCACTTGAACCTGGGAGGTGGAGGTGGTGGTGAGCTGAGATTGAGCCATTGCACTCCAGCCTGGGCAACAAGAGCAAAGCTCCGTCTTGAAAAAAAAAAAAATTCTTTTTATGAAAAGTCTTGCTCTGTCACCCAGGCTGGAGTGTAGTGGCATGAACGTGGCTTTCTGCAGCCTCAACCTCCCAGGCTTGAGCGATCCTCCCACCTCAGCCTTCTGAGTAACTGGAACCACAGGCACACACTACCACATCAATCTATTTTTTTTTTTTTCTGTAGAGTCAAGGGTCTCACTATGTTGCCCAGGGTGATCTCAAACTCCTGGGCTCAAGCAATCCTCCTGCCTTAGCCTCCCAAAGTGCTGGGATTACAGGCACGAGCCCATTTTAGAGATGAAGAAACTGAGGGCTGGAGAGAGGAAGTATTGATATAAAATCTAAGATCACAGTTCTGAAGTTCAGGCAGAGTCAGGACCCAGGTGTGTCTGGCTATAAAGCAGTGATTGTCAGTCGTGGCTGCCCATTTAGAAGCACCTGGAGGGCTTTATGGAATCACAATGCTGAGTCTGAACCCCAGAAAAACTACATCAGAATCTCTCAACGGTATTTTTTTTTTTCTGTTTAATTCTCCAGGCAATTCCATGCGTAGACAAGTTTGAGGAGCACTGATTTAAAGTGAGGGAACTTCATCTCTCAGCCAGCATTTCTCAGACCTGGGATCTTCCTTAAAAATATACAGACTCCCAGGCCTCTCTCCTGCAAATGCTGAACTAGATGCCTGGGATGGGGCCTAGCAACTCGTGTTTTCCACAATCACCCTAGATGAACACGATTACTAGACCTGTGTCTAACCTACCTTCTCCCGCCTGCACGGCTACAAGGAACCAGACCAGTGGGCCCTGGTCGCTGGCCCCTGAGAGGGAGGGCAGAGTGTGTGCTCCTAGAAGCATGTGCCAGGGAAGCCTTGGGCCTTGGAGCAGCTGGGGCAGCAGGTGGGGAGGAGGGTAGGAAAATTAACCCTTTGCATCTATATACATTATTCCTTGAAGACAGTACCAGCCATCCCACTCCTAGTCCTGGAACAACTCAACCTGATCCAGGCTGTTGCAGAAAGTGGTCTTCCTTTCCCCTTCGGTCCTCCCCTCCCCTCCTCACCCCTCCCCTCCTCACCCCTCCTCACCCCTCCCCTCCCCTCCCCTCCTCACCCCTCCCCTCCCCTCCCCTCCCTTCTCCTCCCCTCCCCTCCCCTCCCTTCTCCTCCCCTCCCTTCCCTTCCTTTCCTTTCTCCTTTTTTTTTTTTTTTTAAGAGGGTGTCACTCTGTTGTCCAGGCTGGAGTGCAGTGGCACAGTTTTGGCTCACTGCAACCTTGGCCTCCCAGGTTCAAGCAATTCTCCTGCCTCAGCCTCCCGTATAGCTGGGATTACAGGCATGTGCCACCACGCCCGGCTAATTTTTGTATTTTTAGTAGAGACGGGGTTTCACTATGTTGGCCAGGCTGGTCTGGAACTCCTGACCTCAGGTGATCCACCTGCCTCAGCCTCCCAAAGTGCTGGGATGACAGGCGTGAGCCACGGCACCCGGCCTTGTTTCCTTTTTTCTTGTCGCTTGAAATGTGCAGAAAGCAGAAACTGGACCCCTTCCTGACACCTTACACTAAAATTAACTCCAGATGGATTAAAGACTTAAACCTAAGACCTAACACCATAAAAACCCTAGAAGAAAATCTGGGCAAAACCATTCAGGATATAGGCGTAGGCAAGGACTTCATGACCAAAACGTCAAAAGTATTGGCAACAAAGGCCAAAATAGACAAACGGGACCTAATCAAACTCCACAGCTTCTGCACGGCAAAAGAAACAGTCATTAGAGTGAATCGGCAACCAACAGAATGGGAAAAAATTTTTGCAGTCTACCCATCTGACAAGGGGCTGATATCCAGAATTTACAAAGAACTAAAACAGATTTACAAGAAAAAAACAAACAAGCCCATTCAAAAGTGGGCGAAGGATATGAGCAGACACTTTACAAAAGAAGACATACAGGAGGCCAGCAAACATAGGAAAAAATGCTCATCATCATTGGTCATTAGAGAAATGCAAATCAAAACCACATTGAGATACCATCTCACAGCAGTTAGAATGGCGATCATTAAAAAATCTGGAGACAACAGATGCTGGAGAGGATGTGGAGAAATAGGAACACTTTCACACTGTTGGTGGGAGTGTAAATTGTGGAAGACAGTGTGGCGATTCCTTAAGGACCTAGAAATAGAAATTCCATTTGACCCAGCAATCTCATTACTGGGTATATATCCAAAGGATTATAAATCGTTCTACTGTAAGGACACATGCACACGAATGTTCATAGCAGCACTGTTTACAATAGCAAAGACCTGGAACCAACCCAAATGCCCATCAATGGGCATTAGACTGGACAGGGAAAATGTGGCACATATACACCACGGAATACTATGCAGCCATCAAAAACGATGAGTTCGTGTCCTTTGTAGGGACATGGATGAACCTGGAAACCATCATTCTCAGCAAACTGGCACAAGAGCAGAAAATCAAACACCGCAAGTTCTCACTCATAGGCGGGTGTTGAACAATGAGAACACATGGACACAGGGAGGGGAGCACTACACACTGGGGTCTGTTGGGGGGAAATGGGGGAGGGACGGGGGGTGGGGAGGCGGGGAGAGATAGCATGGGGAGAAACGCCAGATATAGGTGATGGGGAGGAAGGCAGCAAGTCACACTGCTATGTGTGTACCTATGCAGCAATCTTGCATGTTCTTCACATGTACCCCCAAACCTAAAATGCAATTAAAAAAAAAAGAAAGAAAAAGAAAATTCCCTTCCCTGGGTGGAAGCAATGGCTTAGAGGGCACAGGGTGGGATGAGAAGGCCAGATTGCAGCAGGTGCCCCAGGGAGCTTGTCCCATGTGGACAAAGATAGGGCCTTGTGGAAAAGCAAGCGAATCCCGGGGCATCCTGCCCTTTGACCACACATTGTGAAGCATCTGCGCCTCCCACATGGGGCTGCGAGACTCAGGCAATTAAGGCTCTGTCTTTTAAAAGACAATTGCTGCAAGCCAGCTGGCTCCTAGGGGACACAAGGAGGCTGAAGAGAATGAGGAAACTCCAGGAAGACAGAAACAGCCTCTTTAGCCCAGATCAGATTTTTAACAGCTTTGCCTTCCTTCTTGGTGCTTCCCAAGGCCAAGCCCCGCGCGAGAACGGAGGCATTGTCTTGTGTCTGGAGGCAGACAGAGGGGACATTTAAAGACTGGCTCGGTGATGGGAAGACAACCCTTTCAAGGACCCGGAGCAAGCTCTTTCTCATAAGCTCGCAGGGCACACAGATAAATGGCGAGGTCAGCAGAAGGCGTCTCAAGAGGTCTCCCCCAGCTTCTTATGAGACAAGTGTTACAGGCTGGGCTTCCCCAAGCAAGGTCTGAGCAGGGCTGTCTGCAGGGGGGTGACAGAGTGGGGACAGGAGCAGCGTCACTGCCCTTTGGGGGTTTTAGGGGGGAGATCCTCCCCCTGTGGGAACCTAGAGTCCCAGAGGCGTGCAGAACACCACTGTGAGTCTCAAATACAGGAACACGCAGAATCAGGGACGCCGTGGTCCAGACATCAAAGATTCAGGCGTCTCCCGCATCCCCCGGGAGGCAGTCAGTTGGGAACCTTCACTGGCTATAAAAACAAAACTTGTCTTGTGTAGTGAGAATGAGCAAAGTAATTCCTGGAGAGAACCTCCCGTGGCTTAAGGGAAAGTGTGTTTTCCAAGCCGGGAGGGAGGCCAAGGGAGTGATGGGGAGGGGCAGTGCCTGCGTGGGAGACTGGGAAGGAGGCACACTGGAGGCTGGCCCTCCGCATTGAACTCCCTGGTGGAGTAAGGAGATGAGAACACTTGCCTCTTCTTCTTGGTCCCTGGCGCAGCCCCTGCTGGGTTCCCGGGGCTGGCGGGCTCTCCACTGGCACCTGGCAGGGGAGGGCTTCCTTCCCTCTTTCTTTGTTGTTTTTGAGACAGAGTCTTGCTCTGTCACCCAGGCTGGAGTGCAGTGGTGCGATCTCGGCTCACTCCAACCTTTGTCTCCCAAGTTCAAGCGATTCTTGTGCCTCAGCCTCCCGAGTAGCTGAGACTATTGGTGCGTGCCACCACGCCAAGCTAATTTTTTTTTTTTTTTTTTTTTTTTTGAGACGGAGTCCAGGCTGGAGTGCAGTCGCCTGATCTCAGCTCACTGCAACCTCCACCTCCCAGGTTCAAGCAATTCTTCTGCCTCACCCTCCTAAGTAGCTGGGACTACAGGTGGGAGCCACTGCACTTGGCCAGAATTTTTGTAATTTTAGTAGAGGTGGGGTCTTGCCATGTTGGTCAGGCCTCAAGTGATCCACCCACCTGGGCCTCCCAAAGTGCTGGGATGAGCCACGATGCCCGGCTTTCCGGTCTTTGTGCAACTTCTGGAATTCCGGGGTCCTAAGGGACTCACTCTAAACCCTCAAAAGAGGCAGACCTCCCTAGAAAGTCCCATTTGTTTCCGCCCAGGCTAGCACTAAGCATGTCTGAGCCCCACAAGGAAGGTGAAGGTTGAGGGCAGGGAGAGGTGGGAAGAGGCCCCCAGAATTGGAGAGCGACAGGGATCAGTGTCTCCCGGCCCTCACCACTACCACGTGGTCTCCCTGATAGAAAGACTGGGGTCTTCTATTCACTCCCGTCCCTATGGCCTGGCACATAGAAGGGGCCTAAGACTCCTGTCACCTGCTGCGTTAGTGACTCTGACACCAACGCCTACCAGGCTTCTCTCGAGAGCTCTCTCTGCTGACCTTGAAAACCAAGCAAAGGACTTGAAACAAAGGATTCGAGAGGAAAACACACAGGGTCTGAAAGCTGGGAGAGGATGCACTTCTGTGGTTCGAAAAAATGAATGTGGTAAACCTTGACCTTGAGCACGAAAGAGGAAGGCACACAACCCGGAGGAACTCGCCAACTGTGTGACCTTGGCCACACGAGAATACCAGCTCTCAGGTTGAGGAAGAAATGAAAGAAAGCTCTTAAAACACCTGCCACATAGCAGGTGGGTAACACTGTTAATTTACTTCCTGCTATCCTGAGCAGAACGCTCTCCTCTTAAAGGGCCCATCTTTCCATCACCTTAGCCCAAGGCTGTTTTTTTGCTTTTTTTGTTTTTTTTGTTTTGTTTGTTTGTTTGTTTGTTTGTTTCTCTATCCATTCAGCTGTAAATTCTTCAGGGGTCTCCAGTTCATTGCAGGGACCGGACTGTATCAGGAGCTGAGGGGGTAGCGGGGCCATGAGGGTGTTCAGAGGCCGCAGGGTCCTGCGACTTAGAGCAGATCCAGCAGAGCGAGGCTTACGGGGACAGAAGGCACTAGGAGCGCTAGTCCTGGCATCCACCATCCGGCAGAGCTATCCCAGAAGGAAGACACCCCCAAAAGGAATTTTTGGCATTCTTGGTGATTATTACCCTAGAGGCCTCTCCCCATCACTCTCCACTTTCACCTTTAGCCTCGCACGTCCTCCTGGGGCCCGCCCCTTACCCTGGGTCCGCTCCTCCTGCTTCTGGGCCTCGGGGGAAGCGCCCAATCCAACGACCCCGGCACCCGCGCTCCTGAAACGGCGGCGTTTACCGGTTGCCTAGCAACCCCGGCCGGGCTCCGGACGCGGAAGGACCCCGGAGCACGTGACTCCCGTCCTGTCACGCCCGAAGCGCAGCCCGTTCCTCCTCTTTTCAGAGGTCCCCGGAGTTAGGAGAAAAATCAACCAACAAGTTGGTAAACTACCAGTAGTGATGTTGAACATTTGTAGGGGCGTTGCCAAGGCGCCTATCCAAGCCTACGTTTGTATATATTTGCATCGAGCAAGGTACCCAGAAAATGCAAGGAAGAATAGTCAGCGCCTGGGAAGCCCTGATCCCTGGGTGGTGATGGTGGTCTCTGCTTTCGATCTTGGTCGACGGTTTGGCCAGGCCTTCCTTCAGTCTCGAATTACAACCCCGCCCTCCCCTCTGCTACCATCCTTCCTGCACCACCAGAATGGAAACTCCTTGGGTGTAGAAGCTGGGGATTTTTTTTTTTTTTTTTTTTGAGACAGAGTTTTGTTCTTGTTACCCAGGCTGGAGTGCAATGGCGCGATCTCGGCTCACCGCAACCTCCGCCTCCTGGGTTCAGGCAATTCTCCTGCCTCAGCCTCCTGAGTAGCTGGGATTACAGGCACGCACCACCATGCCCAGCTAATATTTTGTATTTTTAGTAGAGACGGGGTTTCACCATGTTGACCAGGATGGTCTCGATCTCTTGACCTCGTGATCCACCCGCCTCGGCCTCCCAAAGTGCTGGGATTACAGGCTTGAGCCACCGTGCCCAGCCCAGAAGCTGGGGATTTTTACAGCTTAGCTGGGTGGTTGGCACGAAATGTACTGTGTTCATTGAATGAATGGATGAACGAATGAATGAACGAATGAGACGAGTCATGCTTCTCAGGGGGTTAGGGCAATTGAGATCATGTAAATTAAAACAAGGAAATTTGGGGCTAGAAAAAATGAGTCTGAATTCCGGCTTGGCTACATACTAATCTCGTGACCCTGGTCAAGTTACTTTCCTTTTCTAAGACTCGGCTATCCTCAGCTGGAAAGTGGCAGGACACTGGCGGTGCTTATTAGATAATCGGAAGGATTAAGTGAGAGACAACACCGGAGCGTGTCCCGCCCCGTCCAGAGTTACTGGTGCCTGAATGAACGGCAGTGCCGGGAATGAGGCTATCCCGAGTTCGGACGCTGACGTCGGAGATTTGGACTGGGAGAGAAGAGGAGTGCCTCATCCAGCAAGTGGGACTGGGTTCGGAACTGAGCCTTGAAAAATGGTTATGAAAAAAAATCAGAAAAAGAATACCATGGCATGCAAAGAAAAGAAAAATGGTTACGAGTTGCAGGGAAGAGGAGTGGGGAGAGCATTCCAGGTTCGGGGAGGGCCTGGTGTGAGCAAGGAAGGAAGGTGGGGGTCATCGTGGGAGAAAGGCATTTTGCGGGGATGGTGGGTGCAGCAGTCTGGCTGAGGTTGAGAATCCCTGCAGGGGTAAAATAAGAGAGGTATTTGCAAAGGTCAGCTGGGACCAGTCTGTGTGTGTGTTTGCGGGGGGCGGTCCCAAGAGAGGTGGGCTGAGGGGCCCAGACAGCGTCCCATGGGAAGCCCTCAGCAGGTTTGGGATCTGTGAAAGGACAGGAAGGAAGCAAATGTTTTTCTCCCACTTCCCAACTTCTCCATAAACATGTTGTCACCACTACCCACCTGCCTTTAGTGGGACAGGTACAAGGAAATTCCCAATGAGACGTCACCTTGCAGGGCCACACTAACCAAAAACAAGCCCCTAAATGGCTGCGGCCACCAACCTCTCCTGATCCATCCAGCTCCCACCAGTTTCTCAGGACAAAGAACTCTTAGGGGTGCGTGCTGAGGATGCTCATGGGGGCTGGGTGGAGGAGCTCCTGAAAGCCCCACTGAAATGACTTTAAGGGCTGGAGGCAGTGGCTCACACCTGTAATCCCAGCACTTTAGGAGGCTGAGGTGGGCAGATCACCTGAGGTCGCGAGTTCAAGACCAGCCTGACCAACATGGAGAAACCCTGTCTCTACTAAAAATACAAAATTAGCTGAGTGTGGTGGTACATGCCTGTAATCTCAGCTACTCAAGAGGCTGAGGCAGGAGAATCACTTGAACCAGAGAGGTGGAGGTTGAGTGAGCCAAGATTGTGCCATTGCACTCTAGCCCGGGCGACAAGAGCAAAACTCCATCTCATTAAAAAAGAAAAAAAGAGGCTGGGCGCGGTGGCTCACGCCTGTAATCCTAGCACTTTGGGAGGCCAAGGTGGGTGGATCACCTGAGGTCAGGAGTTCAAGTCCAGCCTGGCCATGATGGTGAAAACCCCTCTTAAAAAAAAAAAAAAATAAATAAATACAGGCTTTGTGTGGTCAGAGGTGAATCAGACCCAAAGTCTCCAAGAGCAGGAAACGATCCACTCCGTGATGGGGCGGTGACCAGCTGCGGTTACAATCATAATCCAACCCTCTCCACTCCACCCCCAGCCCTGGGGTCCTGAGGGCTCTCTGCAGTCACATTATTTCCTGCGTAGGAAAGTGGGTTAGAAAGGGAAACAGGAGAGGCTGAAAGGAAAGTGTAGCCACCTTTACCATGTCATCCAACAATTTATTACAGGCTCCCCACCCCCACCCTCACCCAGAAGGCTGCAGGCTGCCGACCACAGAGGGCAGCTCTGTTCACTGGCCAAACAGTCACCCTTGGCAAGCCCGACTCAGCATGAGGTCATATAATTAGGAGTATTCAAAAGGCTCTAGTTTGAAAACAGTTGCGGTGCCTCTCAGGTCTCCACCCAATCACAGCATAATTGGCAACCGAAATCCTTAGCTGAGAGCAGCCCCTGGGCCTGGACATCCCAGGCCAATCCGCCAATCCAAAACCCATGGCACTAATGTGTCCCTCTTTGGTCCCCATTTTTGTGTGTGTAGCGAAACACACATAAAATTTACGATCTTAACCATTTTTCAGTTTACAGTTCAGTGGTATTCATTTCATTCACATTGCTCTTTGGTCTTGCTTTGTCACCCAGGCTGGGGTACAGTGGCATAATCATGGCTCACTGCAGCCTCCACCTCCAGGGCTCAAGCAAACCTCCCTCCTCAGCCTCCCAAGTAGCTGGGAACACAGGTGCACATATCCATGCTCAGCTAACTTTTTTCGGTTTTTGTAGACGCAGGTAAGAGGCGGGACTTGATTCTGGAGGCAGAGCTCAGGCACCAGACCAGACTGAGGACTAGCGAAATCAGGGAAGAGGCGGAAGCAGCTCTCCATAAGACACGCCCACCACTGCGCCAGCGTTAGTTTACCGTTGCTATGGCAACACCTGGAGGTTATCCGCCCCTTCCATGGCAATGACCCAATGACCTGAAAGTTACCACCCTTTTCTAGAAATGTCTGCATGCTTCACCTCTTAATTTGCATGTAATTAAAAATGGGCATAAATATGACTGCACACCTGCATCTGAGCTGCTAGTCTCCGCACACCGCCTACGGGTAGCTCCGCTCTGCGGGAGCAGTCGTGACCTGCAGCACTGCCAACCTCAATCAAGCGGTTTTCTTCCACCACCTTCAATTCTTTCCTGGGCAAAGCCAAGAAGCCTCCTGGGCTAAGCCTCCATGTGGACTTTGCCTGCCCTGCATCATCCCTATGTTGCCCAAGCTGGTCTCCAGCTCCTAGGCTCAAGTAGTCCTCCTGCCTTGGCCTCCTGAAGTGCTGGGATTACAGGTGTGAGCCACTGCGCCAAGCCTGTTCGTCCTTCTCTCTCTCTGTCTCCTTCCTTCCCTCTCCTTCCCTCTCTCTTCCTCCCTCCTTTTCCCTCCCTCTCTCTCTTCTCTCTTTCTCTTTTTCTTTTTCTTTCTTTCTTCTTTTCTGATGTCAGCCACTGCACCCAGCCTCCGTTTGACCTCTTTGCTTTTTTTCCTTTTTTCTTGCTCTTTCTTTCCTTTCCTTTCTGTTTTTCTTTCTCCTTCCTTCCTTCCTTCCTTTCCTTCTTTCTGTCTCTCTCTCCTCTCTCTCTCTCTGTCTCTCTCTCTCTGTCTCTCTCTTTTTTGAATCAGGGTCACCCAGGCTGGAATGCAGTGTGCAATTTCACCTCACCACAACGCCTGTAATCCCAGCACTCTGGGAGGCCGAGGTGAGCGGACCACGAGGTCTGGAGTTCGAGACTAGCCTGGCCAATATGGTGAAACCCGATCTCTACTTAGCCCCACTGCAGCTCAAGTGATCCTCCCACCTCAGCCCCCCAAGTAGCCGAGACCACAGGTGCACACAACCACATCTGGCTATTTTTGTTTTCTTTTTTTTTTTTTTTTTTTGTATTTTTTGTAGACACAGAATCTTGCCATATTGCTCAGGCTGGTCTCAAACTCCTGAGCTCAAGCGATGTACCCACCTCAGCCTCCCAAAGTGCTGGTATTACAGGCGTGAGCCACCACACCCAACCTTGCTCTATCTTCCTGAAGGCAGGTTAGCTACATACATCATTTGGAATCCTGCATGAGAGATTCGCTACTCACTTTTTTAGACTTAACTTTGCTTGGCTTATAATGTGCAATACAGTAACATTTGGTAGGAACCATCTGCTCTCCCCGCCAGTGCCGAAAGCAAGCTACACGTGGTTTGCAGGAATGAGGCACACAGCACATTCCGCCGGCTTGCTGCTGCGGCACCCGTCACCAAAGCGTCTGCCTGCCTGGCCAGCTTCCTTCCAGGACTGTGAGTGCCTGGAAAGTGGAGACCTCACTCGATTCATCTGCAGAGTCACAGTGCCTGTGGCAGGGCCTGATGTGTGACAGCTTCTCAGGATGGCATTCATCACATCAACGGCAAACCCACCTAGCCCACCTTGCTAGCAGTTAAGTAATAAGAGCTGCACTCTGGCTAACACAGACCAGACCTCTCTCTGCCACCCCAGAGCAGGGCTCCCTTGTATTCTTTTTTTTTGAGACAGAGTCTCACTTTATCCCCAAGGCTGGAGTGCAGTAGCACAATCTTGGCTCACTGCAACCTCCGCCTCTTGGGTTCAAGTGATTCTCCTGCCTCAGCCTCCTGAGTAGCTGGGATTATAGGC